AACTGATCTCTGTCATCTGGAGATCAATTGTAGCAGTGGGAGATCTCCAGGTCCCACCTGGAGATTGGCAACCCTAGGGGAAAGTCAACTGCACAGCAGGGGGTTGAAGAGAATGGTTTGATGGCTGCTGGGCCAAGATTGGCAACAATAGTTCCCCAGGAGCCCCATCGTAAATGCACCAAACAATTCCTCAAGATTTTCCGAAACACTACTCTGTTTTGGGCTCCTGGGGAACTTTGAAGTAGCACCAAAGCTTTAAGGTCTCTCCAGCTGTCACCTGGAGACTGGCAACAGCTTGTCTGGAGTGTGGGCAGCATGGCATTGTATCTGTCTGAGGTCCCCCTCTTCCTCCTCCTCCTCCTCAGATCCCACCCTCAGCAGGCTTCATCCCTAAAATATCCTGGAAGTTTCCAACCTGGAGTTGGCAACCTTATGTCCTGGAGTTCGAACCTGGAGTTGGCAACCATCAGCCAACGTTTATCTGCCTGTCTGTCTTTACAAACCCCCCCCCCACACACACACACACAGCCTCTGCCTAGGGAGCAGCTGACATCATTCTCCTCTCCCAACTGAAAATTCCAACTGCCTTGCGGGGGGGGGTGAGTTTGAGGTGTGGAATGGAGTGTAGTCCAATCAGCTTCCATATGTAAATGACCTTGGAACGCTGGCCGGGACTGCACAAAGCAGCCAATGAACCCAGCCAGTGTCTTCCGAGTGGCAGTTTTTTCGGCCTAACACTAAAGGGGCCAATTTTAGAATTCTGGCACCCACTACTCTTTTATAATAAGGGAGAGATACTCAGGTGAAGCACAAGTAAGGTAGGCGTGCCTATAGCTTTGCAGATCTGCCTCTCCGCACAGATCCACAGAGGACAAGAGAACCTCCACCCCATGTACTTCAGCAACTCAATAAGAGTCTGACTGCTTCTCTTCCAACATTTCCATTCTGTGCTTTCTTTTCACACCGATACTAATTTATTTATTTATTAGATTTATATCCAGCCCTCCCTCCATGGCATGCTCAGGGCAGCTAAGAAGGCCAAAGGAATTATAACAATAAAACAAGTTAGTAATTTAACATTTAACAAATATCAATCTCCCTCCCCTCCTGCTGCTGCCAGCTAGGTGGGAAAGCTCTTTCAGGCCCATCGCCAGGATTTTGTGGCTTGCAGGGCAATTTTTTTCTGGTGGGGCTGAAATTCTCAGTGCAGAAAGAAAAGCCATTTAGCCAACAGAAAACTGTTACCAGGATAGACCTCTAAATTGCAAGCTGTCAACCACTTTAGATGGCAGTTCTCAGCTGCTGCAAGTTAATCACTTCTGCCAGCCTAAGCAACAATTCTGATAAGCCAGCAGGTGGGGGTGATGACTTCTATAGTCAAGAAAGCTAACACTTAGGCAGAAAAACTCTCTTAAAGGAGACCAGTTTCTTGACACAGAGTTAGAAGGGATCCTAGAGGTCACCTACTCCAACACCCTTGTTCTGTGTGGGAATACGTCAACTGTAGCACCCCACTCTGCTTAAAGGAGCATATGCCTTTTAAAATGTTTTTAAATTATTGAAAAAAGCATTTACAGGAGAAATTCTTGTGAGGCTGTGCCTTTAAGAAAGGGAGCAGAGCCCTCAAAAGCCCCACCATACCTGTGGGCCTGAGCTCATTTCTTCTGGTCCAGATGAGCATTTAAACAAAGCCTGATACTCAAGACACATATACGATTGTGACGATACCTCACCATTCCCTCTGTCATTACAGTACAGTACAGTATAGTAGTGGCCAATAATATAGAACTGAACCATTTGCAGTTCCCAAAACTCATGATACTATAAGCAGAGGAGAAATTAGACATTTCCCAACAGATTTTAAAATCTATGAAGAATACTTTTGGGGCAAAGCTGTAGACTTTCCAATTTCCCGGGGGGGGCTGGGGCTGGGCCAGAGGCATTGCTTTGCTAGGAGCAAGGGTGGCTCCCGGGGGAGGCTGAGCACCTTCCTGAAAATTTCGACGGGGGCTGAAGCCCCGCCGCCCCCACGAAGATTACGCCTATGTTTTGGGGTGAAGAGTTATTTCTCTGCAGTGAGTAATTTCTCTACAAATACTGTTACCAGCCTCCAGGTTGCTGGCTGGAGATCTCCTGGAATTATAACTGGTCTCCAGGTAAAAGAGATCAGTTCACCTGGAGAAAATGGCTGCTTTGGAAGGTGCGCTCTATGGCACTGTACTCCACTGAAGTCTCTCTTCTCCTCAAACCCCACCCTCCCCAAGCACCACCTCCAAAAATCTCCAGGAATATCATAGTCCAGAGCTGGCAACTCTATCTACAATTCATATTTTTGCAGTTTTATTTGATACAGTGCTTTATACAGCATAATTGTTGTGCATGTTGTTGTGCCTAGGGTAACCTTCCTTGAATGCTTGGGAAAGGAAGGGTGCAAGTCTTTCAAACAAAGCATAAATAGCTACACCTGCCAAAATCTGCTCTAACCTGTCTAGGCCATATTTAGAGCCGGTGTAATGTTAGAATGCTGGACTAGAGTCTGGGAAACACAGGCTTGAGACCCCACTCTGGCATGGAAGTTTTCCGGGTGATGGTGTGCTAGTTGCATGTTCTCTGCCTGATCTACCCCACAGAGTTGTCATGAGGATAAAATGAAGAATGTTGGGGACCATTTTGGGTCACCGTCAGGGAGAAAAGTGGAGTACAGATAAAGTAAATAACAAGAATTTAACTCACCCTTCCCCCATTTTCTCCTCAAAATAGTCCTGTGAAGTAGGCTAGGTCAAGACAGTGTGAGTGACCCAAGGTCATCCAATGAGTTTCATGTGTCAGAATAGGACTGAACCCAGGTCTCCCAGATTCTCCCATCAGCCAGCCTAAAAATTCTATACTTAGAATCATTAACTGTGGTGGAAGTTAGGAGGATAGTTTGGAAGGCCAGCCTGTACATGAAAAGAAGCATGTGCTTGCTTTCCTCCTCCTTTTACAGGGACTATAGAACAGGAAAACGCACTGCAGTCTTGCGCATCACATTTAAAACTGATACCAAAAAGCACATCTTGCAGAAATTCATCTCAGTGTTTTATCGCTGATTAGCCACTTGTGGTAGTTCCAATGAGAAAACGATGCTTTCAGATAAGCTAGAGAAAGTAACTTGATCCCAGCGTCTTTTGCAAACTCTGTTGACCAGATAAACTCCCCTCCTCCTATCATGTTTTGCAGGTGATCTAACTGTAGAGAGAGAGGATTTACCAGTGACGTTTGATACTCTCCTGCACATTCAACAGCTCCGGAAAAAGACACTGAGATCCTTTTGTGGTCAAACTGCTAAAATCACTGAGCTTCCCCATAACAAGCAGGAAGCTTCCCAGGTGGTGTCTTCAATCATGGTGAACAACAAACTTCAGTTACTGTACTGCAGAATCCCAGCAACTGGGGTGGAAGGCTGGGAGCAGCTGTTGGAGATGCTGGAGGAGACTGTTACTCCGCAGCTGCCAGTTCCCGTTCGCCAGAACTTTGGCACGCAAAAGATGCTGAGCCAGTACAACCTGACGTCAATGGAGGCTCTGCTGAAATCTTACACGAAAGTGATCTTTATCAGGGAGCCTTTCCACAGACTCATCTCTGCTTACATGCGGGGACTGGCAGATGGCCTAACCTTCAAGGAGTTTGTCCAGTACGTCTTATACCAAGGATCCAGTAATGCCAGTATTGAGTGGAAACCACTGGTCAGCCTGTGCCGGCCGTGCCTCATCCACTATGATTATATAATCATGTTTGGCTTCCTAGGCAGTGAAGTGCACCATTTGATGCAACGGGCTGGGCTTCTAGGGAACAACCAGCTCCCCGAGTTCGTAGACTCCAAAATCCGTTGGACCTATGGCTGGCTAGAAGAACAGATGTTCAGCGAACTCTCTCTTGCACAGAAGAAACAGCTGTGCCGCTTCTTTCGGTTTGACTTTGCCGCATTTCACTTTCCTAACAGCTTGCTCTGGGACCCTACTTGTATTACAAGGAGCACATAGGGTTTTTGTGACTTGAAAAATGGATCATTTGTTCGCAAAAAGCAAAGAGAAATGTTGCACAACTGAGCTGCACTAGGGCAGGTTTAATGTCTCAGTGCAAATGCTAGGATCTCAGCAGTTTCTACTTAAGACTCAGGGTCAAACTAGATGAGACCTCGGATTTCATGTCTTTAAAAAAAAAACAAATTAACAGTAGCAATTGCCTGAAATGGACCAGGACTATAGCCCTGGGAAGGGGAGAAGCTTGTTTTCAAAGGCCCACATACTACAATACTAGATGGTTTCCAAGTTTTTAATGAACACACTTCTAAAATGTTTTTAAAAGCACGTTTATATTTCAAAGTTGTCAATTTTCAAGAAGAATTTCTTATACATTCAGATCATAAAGGAAGTAATTAATGAGAAATCTCAATAAAAATAATTTGTAAAGTATACAATTACAAATGAGCAAAATACTTCCTTGAACCATGCCATACAGGGTTGTCACCAATATGTCACTATTACCTTTTTTCAGAAGATCATACTATTTTTATGCCTTTGTTTAGCATAACATTCTGTGGGCTCTACAGAAAAATGTTTAGTTCTACAAAAAGTACTGGCACAAGACACCTTTTGAGTACTCCAGTAACAGCACAAGAGCCATGGATTGATCCATAACAGTGAATGTCAAACAGTAGAAAATGATAGTCATATTTGCAAGTCATACCTCTAAGCTTACTGTATATTTCAGTTTACTCTTTTTATGCATAAACCACAAAGTCCATACACACCACAACAAAGAACACTGTAGTAATCATTTAAGAGATTAGACCAATCCACTCTCTTTGCTCCAACTGAACCCAAAATATGAACTATTAAAACATTACTGAACAGATGCCCTTTTGATAGTAGTAGCAACCTACTGATGCTACCTTGTTATTAAAGAGTACAAAAATATAATGCAATGTTCCTAATCACAGGAGTATCACAGGAACCTAGGTGCATCACAATGTAAAATCAGCTTATAGGAAACCTGTTTGGAATGTGCTTAGCTAATATACATTCTTACTTTTACAAGCTACTTTCTTATATTGTGGAAACACCATTACTTGCAATCAAGGCACTGAAACCTCTGTACATTATGATCATGCTTCTGTCAAGAGGAAACACTGGTTTCCTATAACATGTCCAATGTCAACAATAATAGAATATAATCAAAAGGCATGATACGAATCAATGTCCTCAAATGAACTACAAACTCACTGCCTTCTGGACATGTGGGAGGATGAAGTTACATTTCATTGACACACAGTGCAATCCTAAGCTGTTATACCCTTCTTTTTAGTCACCTTTCTCCCCAGTAGCTTACGTCATTCTCCTCTTCTCTGTTTTATCCTCACAACAGCCCTGTGAGGTAGGTTAGGGTGTGTGTGTGTGTGATTGGCCCAACAAGCTTCCATCACAGAATTTGGATTCAAACCTGCATTTCCCTGATCCTAGTCCACCGCTGCAATTGCTACATCGCACAATGCATTTAGAAGGATGTAACTCTGCTTAGGATTTAATTGTCAACTGGCTCTCATATGTCTGTTGTGTTTTGATATAAGGAGTGCTTAAATGGGAGACCAGAGTATAGGGCGCACTGTTCTGTTTTAACAGGTAAAAGGAGTGATGTGGTCAGCTATATTGCATTCAGACATCTCTGGTAATAAATTATGAACCCACACCTCTTGTGGGACAGATAAACCTCACCAATTAGGACTCTCCCAATTTTCCCCACATAAATTCAAGCTATCCCTTTGTAAGTGCTACTTAATGGCAATTTATGAAAACATTCATATACCACACTGTTCCACTTTTCACTTTAACATCCTCTGGATGGATCAACTAAAGTAAAGACTCTGGAAGATGCATAAATAGGGCATTAGCAGCTGCTGCACAAACATCCCATCACAGAAAAAATATAAGCTAACTTGGGGTTTTGTGGGGGTTTTTTTTACAAGCACTAGAATGTTTTATTAAACCTCTTTGTACTACAAAGTGGGGAATCGGACCAATTCCTAAGGAGCCCTCTCAAAATAGCAATGCACTTGGAAGCCATCCTCTATCACCCATTCGAGCATATGATAAGCAAAACCACAAGGATGGAAAAAACCTGACTTTCCAGACCATATTAGTACTAACTTATGGCATTTTTCATTACTGAATCAGGTTGCAGTTGTATGTACACTCACAGTACAGTCCTAGGTAGAGTTATGCCCTACTAAGCCCATTGATTTCAATGGATGTAAATGGGTGTAACTTTGGTTAAGATTGCCCTGTTAGCTTTGGATAAACTTCTCTGGAATCACTGTGTCTTGCTTCCAAGTTATGAATTCAAATGCAGGGTATTAGGACAACTCTTATTTGCCATTGCACAAATCTGCATTTTATTTTAATGTATTTGATACTCTCATCAAACAGAAAAGAATTTGGAAAGAGAATCTGAGAGTTCATCAGTTAGATGCACTGAATTCTTTTTATGCCCATGGGAAATTTAACATGGTCCTACTGCATTGTTGCCTTCAGGCATCCACTCCAAAGATTAAGGGGAAAGCAGAAAAAGAAGGATGGATTGAACCTAAGCCAGCCAAAATTGGCCTTTCTTTGAATTTAAGGCTCATATTTTAAAACAGACAGATTCACAAACAGGTTATAAGCATTTCTATGATACCTGCCAGAAGCTTAAATGAATCTTATAAGGAGTTTCAGTTTCACAGACAGCAAAACCATCATTTTGTCTCTTCATTAAATTTACATCCCAGCAATAATCCATCAGTGATAACCTTTTTCTTAGGCAACTGATAATTTAACAGCCAATTTTTAAAAATGTCATGAATCAGTGGGGCAGGAATACATTTCAGTTTTCAGACACTAGGGTTGCGTCTTTCGGTCCCCTGAGGTAAAACCAGCTTCATGAGTGGAGACGATTTCTTCATTCACGCTCTCACAGACCATGGCTTAAAGGTGCCTGGCTCAGCGGAGGGACACTGGACAGGGGGGGGAAAGATTAAAATGATTGTAGTATGAAGGCAACAAACAGCTGTCTTTGTCTAAAATGCCTATACATGTTCAAAATATGACAGGTTGTGGTTGCCTAACTGTCACAAGCAATGTTCCCTCTAATCTGTGGAGTCCTGTGAGCAAAAATTCTACTTTGTGAGCTACTGACATTAAAGTGGTGAGCAATCAATTTGGCTACTGCATAAATTAGTTTGATCTAGAGCCATCCTTCCTGAGCTGAGACAAAAATGTGTGAGCTGGAGGCTAAAAAACTGTGAGCTAGCTCACACTAACTCAGCTTAGAGGGAACACTGGTCACAAGGCACAGCTATCTTTTGATTTACTAATCCTCCTTCTTCAAGCCAAAGACAATGGGAAAATTGATGAGTGGAAATCCAGTGCATTCCCCCCCCCCCCACAGACAGCAGCCACAGCAGTCCCTGATTCAGGTTGGAACTATGGTTCTCCTGAAAGAGCAAATAACAGCTCTAGGGCCTGTTTGAGTTTGAAGACAAGGATCCTAGGGGAAACTCTGCACTGGAATCCTGAGCTGAACCAGTGTGCTCTGTGGCTGTTATTCATGACTGAAAAACATGCCAGAGAGAGAGAGCTGATCCTGGATCTTCAAGCATCTCCTCTAGTCTGGAGTCAGTCATTCAGTTCTGCCCCATGTGGGGTCTTCTTCAATTCCGCAGGGCCTGTAAGGCAGAGCTGTTCCGCAAGGCCTTTGGTTGAGGCAGCAGACATCTCTATATGGCCTACCTGAAGTGGTTGTCACCCATCTACTTATCAGCCCAAATAATATGCCAGGGAACCTGCAGCCAGCTGATTTGTTAGAAGTGTGACTGTGTTTTAATGTCTATTAATTTTAAATTGTTTACATTGTTTAATTATATTTGTATTTATTGTATGTTTTATGATGTTACCCACCCTGAGCCCACTCGCGGGATGGGGGGCTATAAATACAAATAATAAATAAATAAATAAATATGAAAGAACAAATCTGTCAGGCTGAACACTGAAGTAGGCTGCTGAGCATCCTCTGCAGCTCTCTCTACACCTCTATGTTCTTCCAAAGAACACAAGGGTTGCTTATGTGGATTTTATCTTCACAACCCACACTGTGAGGTAGACTAAGCTAAGACAGTATGCTACACCACCCTGGCTCCTTGGGCATGGGGCATGAAACACTGCAGGGGTCTATTTCTGGGTCCGCCGTGTCAGAATGACAAGAAGACTGAAGACGTCAGGATGCCCAATAACTAACAATAAACCAAAGGCAGTTTTCATTAGCTCCTATTGTTGGAGCATGGAAGCATGGACGGGCAAAGGACTTCTAAAATACAAAAGTACAAGTGGGGACCCGTGATATTCACAGGGGGATCCCTTCCCCCTCTTAACTTTAATCCCCCCCATCAGTGCCAGCTAAGAGAGGGAAGGGATACACACACCCCTACAAGTATCGTGTATTCTGCACTCCTACTACTACAGCCAGTGCCACTGGGGCACCGCACTACCCCACTCACCCACTACTGACATTGATGCTGGTCAGCCCAGTCTCCAGTCTTCTACTGCCGGGCCCACTGCAACTTCCTTTTTATTATAGTATTTATTTATCATTTTTACAATATAATCGTACATAAAACCAAATCATTCAATAATTACAGAATGGAGTCTCATACATCATTCCCAAAGCCCTCCAGCATTAAGCCTTCTGCTGCTGGGATATCATGCTCCCACCCCAAACCCCCCACTGACATGATGATGGCAGGCCCAGGGCAGCTCAAGGCTTCACCCGCTACCCCCCCCCCCAATCACCACTGAGACTCCAACAGAGGTAGATGCATTATTTTGTTTTTAGGGGGGATCCCCCCCTGTAATTTTTTGCCCATTTCAGATTTTTCTGCAAACCTGGGGTCCCTCCAATAGAAGGACCTAACTTCACATTACAGAATCTGCCTACTGTCCCTGGGGCCACCACCAGGGATTTCAATCAGATGTGCATGGTGAGTTTTCCATCGTTCCCAGCAGGGAACTCACAACATACATCTGACTTTATAGTTTGGCCTTTAAAGCCTCTGGCATCTGAGCTGGACTACTCGAATGAAAAGTGGTTCAAGCCACAGAGTGCAGTGTGGTGAGGCAGGCCAAGGGGGAGGGGCTCTAGCTCCTTTTAATGTGTAAATTAACCCTCCCACCATCTCCACTTTATATGGAAGAGGTGATTTCATCTGTCAGTATAGCTGTCTGTCACATTTTATCAAACCCTTCTTCCAAGGCACTCAGTGGAGCATACAACATACATGATTCTCCCCTCCTCCATTTATTTTAAAAAGTAGTGTGCTTAGAGTGTCAGACTAGGACCCAGGTTCAAATCCACACTTTGCTATGAAAGTTAGTGAGTGACTTTGAACCAGGTAGTCTCTCAGCCTGACTTACCTCACAAGCGTCTTGTGGTGAGGAGAATGACACATGGTGCCATGAAGTCTCACTATAACCTATTTTTCAGGATTGTTGCGAGAATAAAATGGAGATGGACAGTATGATGCACACCATCCTGAGCTCCTTGGAGGAAGATAAGCATCTACTTAACAGTAAAGTTAACAACCCTGTTAAGTAGGTTAGGCTGAGAAAGAGTGACTGGGGGTGACTGGTATTATGTGCCCATTCTTCAAAATTCTGGCTTCCCTAACAAAAGGTTTGGCAGGAAGCAGCAAACTAACCAGACTGGGGGATGGAGGATCAGCAAATGCTGATCTAGGAAGGCTACCACTCTGTATCCCATGCACTGGGGGCAGAGGAGTGTAGTTATAGCTAAGCTTGGAAACCATTAGAAATCGGTTCCAGGTTGAACCCTTGCTCTCCTGAACCCTGCTGGTACAGAATAGTGCCCCAGAAGATGAAAATGCTTAAAAAGGAGGTAAGCAACATTTATTTTTTTACAAAATTCATACTCTGCCTTTTTGCCTTTATCAGGTCCACAAATGCAGCTAATAGATTAAAAACAGATGTAATAAAAACATGTCTTAAAAACCATTAAAACCAAACAAAATACACATCATTAGAACAATTAAAACCAAGCTGAAATGCACATACAAAAACCATTAAAACAACATACCAGTTTGGTGAAGACATCGACACACGCATTGCGTATTCTCTCTGGGGTGGCTGGGCTGTCTAGTCTGAAGGGTTGGTTGAGTCCCGATTCTGCCCTTGCAGAGAATATGGCGTCTTTAATGGCATAAAACACTGAGGCTGACAGGAACAGGGGAGGCTCTCCCACAGCCTACAGAAATTAAAGAAAATCAAAGACTGCATCTGTTGCAGCACATTCAACAGGGAAACTGTTTGTAGAATGGATCACTCTTGAATTACAGTATATTGAGGGCTTTAAAACTGTCTTCGTGGATTCACAATTTCACTACAAGTGTCCATATGGGCAGGACACAACTGTAGGAGATTTTTAAAAGTCTCCTTTGCACAATTTGAACTACCTGTAAACATTTCGTAATGTTACCACTCAAGCACACCTTCAGGAGCAACTAATGTGAAGAAAACATTCTAGAGCACTGTAAGAGTGGGGACTAGATTGGCTTACAGGAAATAAAGGTGTGACCCAGCCCTATGTTCACGGGGAGGCACTCCCCAGAAGGCTCCCTTGCCTGTCAGCTGCTAGTCAGTCATGAGTGTTTGGCAATGCACCCAGCCTTGGGAATCCTCCTATATGTAGATGCAGCAAGCCCGCTTTTTTTTCGCTCTTCCACAGGGCTCTGCATGGGCCTCCAATAGCAGTCATGGTTTGTGTCTGTTGCTATATATTTGTGCCCAGCTAAGGACCAACAGAGAAGGGGGGAAAGGGTTCCACTGAGAATTATGGGCCAGTGTTCTCTCTAAGCTGAGTTAGTGTGAGCCAGCTCACAGTATTTTTGCTCACAAGACTCCACAGCTTAGAGGGAACATTGAGGGAACCCTCTCTTACATGTCTAGACAAAGGATGAATCATACCAAATGTTCTTCTAATATGAATGCTGTATCAAGCCACTGAGTGCAATTTAGGTTCAAAACTAAATTTGCTGCATAACTTAGGCACTAAAATTGCTGAACCACTCAGGCCTTAACTACATGATTCATGTGCTATGAGTTGGGTAGGGGGTCCCAGTTCACATCATAGGTAACACTGGGAAACCAGCATTCCCAAGCACTGGTGCCCTGGATTCAGCTTACAAGCATGGTACAAGGGGAGAAGGGCCTTCAGGCTTCTCTCCTGCACCATTTCCTTAGCTGCAACAGCCATGGGGGGAGGGGATGTTTGCCCTCCTGTGGGGCTCCACATATGCAGCACAGGGTACCCAAAGCAGGGCAAAAAAAATCATTTTGCCTCATGAAAATGGTGCAAGAAGGGAAGGCTGAAGCTACTCCTTTCCCTGCACCATGCTCCAGCCTTGCAGCACTTGAGCCAGGACAGGGGTCATGTCACATGTATTGTCTAGTTCAGTAAGATAAACTAGGCCTGGTCAAATCTCCTCCCTTCTACTTCCTGTTTCCTGTCCTAGCAGAGGACTTTGCCATCCTAAATAGTTCCATCCTTCTTAGTCCACTGAAGCTGTAACACTGCTTAGGATTCCACTGTACATCTCTCACCAAGCAGAGCTTCCAACTCTGTTGTCTACAGCCACTGCAACAGCATTGCTTAATAAATGATATTGAGGTAATGCATAACAGATAAAATGCAGAGGGATGAAGCAGAAGAGATCAAACTGAATATCTAATTCTCCAAACGTAGTTTATTTAAAGAAGCCTCCAGCATCTTTATTATCCTGGTTTACTGCATTAGAGAGAGTAACTATCCTTGCAGGGAGGGAATATTTATAATGTTATTAAAATTCTATAGCCAGAAACACCAGTAAAACAAATGAATAAATTCACAATGGTGAGAAGAACACCTTACAGCAAAGCTGTTGCTTTTAGGACAATGTAATGTGCATTTGCCCAGGTGATAAATTCCATAAATTCAGCCAAGTAGTTCAAATTCAGCCCAGTGGAGACAGAGTTGCCAGCACAAGGCTGCCAACTGGTGGGAGACTTACGGGAGGGGGGGAGGTCACTGGTTAAACCATAGAGTTTTGCCCAAATGCTAGAGTGTCCCCAGCAATGTGTTTGCATCACTTCTGTGCACATGAAAAGTGACATCAGTGCAACAGGATGCTGTGTGTCACCCCTCATTTTCTCACATATTTTAATTCTGCCTCCCTGCTAAGCAGTGGCAAAAAGTGGCCACCAGCAGTGGGGAATCCCCCACCAACAGCAAGATCCTGCCAAGCCTAAATGGAGGACAGCAGTGTAAATAAAGACCAGTGCTGTCATTTATTTTCCTCAAGTGGAGGGTTGTCACCAGAAACGCATCCAAAGATTCTTTTCTTTTTTTATATATTTTTCACAAAAAGGAGAAAGGCAGTGAAGAAAAAGAATAGAATAAGAGGGAGAAAGACAAACAGAAAGAAGGAAGCAAAAGGACAGAGGGAGCAGGAAGAGAAAGAAAGACCATGATGCAGCACAGAGTTAGATATCTGATATTAGGGTTGCCAAATACACTTACCCCTCGGAGCGGGGGATCTTCATTGGCGTCCGGGAGTTCGGTCGGTTGGGCGTGTGAAGCGCGCGCAAAGCGCGCGATGGTTCCACCCCCAACGATCTGGGCCACGCCCCCAACATGCCCTACGTCGTGCGTCACCTCTGGTGACGCAGCTTCGGGGGCGGGGCTCCCCCCGGGCCCCAATTCCGCCGGGGCGGAAATCGGGGCTCCGAAGCTGGGGATTCCCCGCCCCCCAGGCCCATTTGGCAACCCTATCTTATATCAATGGGCTAAAAAGGGTTTGGGGTAGGGTTGCCAAACTCGGGGGGAGGGGGCTGGAGCTCTCTTGGAATTGTAACCGATATCCAGACGATATGCTGAGCTCCCGAGCCTCTTCAAACTCTGCCCTTCCCAGGCTCAGTCCCCAAGCCTCCAGGAATTTCCCAACCCCCTATGTTGCTAATTAGGGTTTAAAAAAATGAAGTCTAAAAAAGCAGATTAGCATTATTTATTTATTTACAAAAAGTTATATCTTGCCTTCAGTCAGTTATGATCTTATGACCCACCGCCTTGCCGATGTGGGGATGTATGGGACAGCCTTGCAGTTGTAGGTCTCATTTCTCCACGGTCGGGGACAGAGGCTGGTGCTTGGGGAGTGGGTGTCACCGTGTTACCCTTAGGTATGCAGCATCCCTCAGGGGGCAATCCTCTTCCTCATATTGTTCAACATCTCTATGCGCCCCCTCACTCAGATAGTCTGGAGATTTGTGCTGGGTTGTCCCTCCCTCCCCACAACTTAGCTACAGTAATCCATGTAAGGTCACCTTGAGGCTGAATTACTGTAACTTGCTTTACACAGGGTTACCTTTGAGACTGACCTGGAAACTGCAGCTGGTCCAGAGTGCGGCGGCACATGTCCTTATGGGGACACCACTAAGAGCACGTATACATCCGGTGCTGCAACAGCTGCACTGGCTCCCAGTTGAATTCCAGATCAAGTTCAAGGTTTTGGTACTAATATTTAAAGACCTATGTGGACTGGGACCAATATATCTACAGGACCGTCTCCCAATGTGTCCCTCGAAGGACTTTGTGCTCCTCTGACCAAAGCCTGCTGGTGGTCCCTGGCCCAAAGGATGTACACCTGACCTCAAACAGAGAGCTTTTTCAATGCTGGTGCCAGCCTGGTGGAACATTCTCCCAGCTGAGATCCGGGGCCTGTGGGATTTAACACATTTCCACAGGGCCTGTAAAATGGAGATGTTCCACCAGGCCTATGGTTGAGGCAGTGGCAATTCATCTGTACCCTCCTCTGCTCTGCTTTATTCCATCATGACAGATTTTCTCACCCACCCATTTGCTCTACATTGTTCCATCTACAGTTACCCTCAATTAGAATCCCTTGGGACTTTAATTTAATAGCACAGCAGAGGCCATCCAATGTTTTAGCAATGTTTTAGTAATATTTCGTAATTGATAATTTTATAGTTGTTTATGTTGTGTGTTTTAATCATGTTGTAACCCACCCTGAGCCTGTGTGCAGGGGAGGGAGGGCTAAAAACCAAATAAATAAAATGTAGGGTTTTGAAGGTCAAGACCAGCAGCTTGAATTGTGCCTGGAAACAAACAGGAAGCCAGTGTAGGTGACTGGAGGGACATGATCCCTACACCCACTCCAGTCAGTATCCTGGCTGCAGCATTCTGTACCAACTGAAGTTTACAAACACTTCCCAAGAGCAGACCAATGTAGGCCACATTGAGAAATCTAATCTAGATGTAACCATGGCATGCACCACAGTGGCCAGATCTTTTCCGTCCAGGAAAGACCACAGCTAGCTAACCAGCTGAAGCGGGTTCTAATTGCCCCTCGTTCTAATGTCAAGGGACAGAGAGATCCCCAAGCCTGAATCAGAGTCACTGCAACATGAGGGAAATGTCACTTGAAGAGATGGAAAGGTACTGAAAGGGAGGGAAGCAACATATTAGCAACATGCCCTCCCGCACACCTCAGAGTATGCTTACAAACAGCCTTTGCAGAAGAGCTGTATCCCTCAATGACAGTATACCTTGGATGAATAAATGGCTTTGCTGTTTGGACAGTCCCGGAGAAGAGATACATGGAACTCTGTTGGAATGTTACCAAATGCAGGTATTTTGTACATTCCAGGCCCTCGGGTATACAAATTGCCTTCTGGAGAATAGCGCAGCTCCTCTAAAGTAAAGAGTCCAGCCCCTTGGACAAATGCTCCTTCTATCTGCAAAAGTAAGCCACAAGTGAGTTACATTCTCCTTTGTGTCCTGGGTTTTTGGTGGTTACAGTGACTGGGGGCACTTTCCATCAGTGCTGGCTTCAGAGCAACTTGCAAACCCTCCTCTCCATTGAGGGTCTTCCCACAGCCATCCAGAGTGACCTTTTAGGGCCCTCTGTGTCAAGCCACCCTCAAAGATGTTAGAAATTTTCCCTTGTACATTAGAAAAGTGACTCATAAAATTTAAGAAATGAATAGATGTCTTCTCCATCTTAAGCTGGAAATGGCATTATAAACACTTACTGTACATAGTGCCAACACACTGTGGAAAAACTGCCACCCCCAACTGTATCTTGAACTGTATCATGTATCACAGTAATGTTATGCAGTGTTTACATTTGATGAAAACTATGAAATGCATATGAAACATTATATGTTAATAACTGGTATCCAGTGTTCCCTCTAAGCTGAGTTAGTATGAGCTAGCTCACAGTTTTTGAGCCTCCGGCTCACACATTTTAGTCTTAGCTCAGGAGGGATGGCTCCAGAGCAAACTGATTTATGCAGTAGCCAAATCGCTCACTCACAACTTCAATGCCAGTAGCTCACAAACTTGAATTTTTGCTCTCAAGACTCCACAGCTTAGAGGGAGCATTGATGGCATCTAAAAGAAAGAAACTGTATAGCTGGTGGCTTTTCTATTAACATTTCTTTGGACCTAGCACACTTTTGATAATAAATATGTAATAACTACTAGTAGTGGATAGGGTTACTATTGGTAGTAGATACTAACTGTTTGCAACACAACTATTTTTCTGTGCAGCTGGAGAGGATATCTGCATAAAACCCTTGCAGGCCCAGCATTCTGATCTCCTCCACTTCATTCTGGAGATTTACTAGCTAATACAGGAAGGCCAAAGCTGGGCTGCATGTCTAATTCTAGAGGTCCAACATCCAAAGCTTCAAACAGTCTGCAGCTCAAACTAGAGAAACAAAACCCAAAGCTGCTAAGGAAGGCAGAATGTGGGCTAGATCTATGATACTTGCCTCTGCAGATTGCTGGATTCAATTTAGGGCCTTTATACTGGTGGGACCTGTGGAACTCCCTCCCCCTTGAGACTTGCCTCATGCTTACTTTATTGTCCTTTCAGAGCCAGGCCAGAACACCTCTTTTTATTCAGGCTTTTAGCTATGGGGTTTCATCATTCTCCACCTGTCTTTATGATCTGCTTCTAGCCTCAAGGCTGCTAAGAGATACCATTTTAGGCTGTTTGTTTTTATTCTTTTAATATGGATAATGTTACAGTTGTGGTTTTTATGATTTCACTTATTGTTTTCACTTCGTAAGCCACACAAGTAGCTCTCTCAAGAGGTAGTCTATAAATTTTCTAAGTAAATATAGCTAACACAAAAATACAATTAAATAGCAGCAAAGTAAACTATCAATAAAAGCATCAGATAAAAGACACCAGGGAAAAAAGCATCTAGAGCCATTGTAAGTAACCCACTGAAGTAAAGAAAATCCACTCTGGAATGAGCAACTTGAAGAATTCAGTTTAAACAGAGTTTAGGGTAATTCCCTTAACAATGTCCAGCTGGTGTAAAGAAATGTATCATTGTGTCAGTAAACTGATAAGCAAAGAAGCTAATAATAACTTAGAAATCAGCTATCTTTCAAGCCAACTGTCCATGTTACCACTGCTGTTTATCAAGTCTGCTGCTGCTCATTAACCAATTTAATCTGCTTGCTTGCCGTGCATGTCCAGTTCCGCCCTGCAAAGCATAACCATTCATTGCTTACCTGCCCTATGTCGATAGCAGGATTCAAGCTGGTACCAACATCCATCACAATGTCTGTACGAAGATTCTAAAAATGGGTCAAAGTAAAGACTGAATAAGGACAGAGCTAATCTTATCAAATAATCCAAGCTGGGTCTCTTTCACCATGCGGGTTTTTTGCTGGTGTCCCATCATGGCCAAGCTATCAGCTGGAACCCTCTTTTCTAAATCTCAGTTCAGCCATAAGGGCATCAATTTGTTGTAGACAAGCTTATTTCTTAGCTTCAAACACCCATCTTCAACACAGGGATCATCCCTCCTCAAAACTCATCTCTTCTATGAAGACTTTGACACAATGCTCTTAGGGCCAAATTAGATGTGACAGAACCCCCATGACAGCCACAAGGATGCCCCCAGCATTTTAAACTGATTTTTAAATGTTGCAAAGGCCCAGTCCTGATCTGGCCCACAGTGTGGTGCTCTTGTTCCCCCTTCTATCTTTTCAAGTGCCAAAATAGCCTCAGGGGTGAGAAGTGGGGCCATATCAGCACTTGATAAAGTGTAGGGGGCGGGCAAGAGCACTTTAGCCCACCATTGTTAAATCGTTTTAAATTGGAGGCAACAGCCCAAGGAAACCATCATGTCTCATTTGGCCATCATTTCTCATCCCCTGATGAAATTAAGGGCCACATTACAATCATACATCTTTTGGCATGGCTGAAATAGTCCACATGCAAATAACTCCCTGCCAGGGCTGTTTCGGCTTGGGAAAATGGTGCTTCAGAGAAGGCAGGAACACAGCCAAATATAGATCCTGCTGTTTTTCTAAAACGATATTCTCCCGAGCTGCTGTGTCTCTTCAGGGAAAGCAAGTCAGGACTGGGAACCAGACCCAAGTAGGGCTGCCAAGTGGGGGCGGGGGGCAGGTAAACCCCCGCTTTGGAGGCCCGATTTCTGCCGCCACAGAATCAGGCCCCGGGGGGAACCCCACCCCAGCGTGCGCGTCATCAGGAAGTGACGTTATGACGCCGGGCACGCTGGGGGCGGGGCCACGACCAACCGAGGGGAAACTCTATGGTCTCCCCTTGAATGGTCGTGGCCCCGCCCCCAGCATGCTCGGCGTCATAACGTCATTTCCTGGTGATGTGCGTGCGGCGCGTGCTCCGGGATCCACCCGGGAGTCCCCCGCTGCGGAGTTAAGCTATACTTGGCAACCCTAGACCCAAGTCACCAAAACCATACTGTGTAATTTGACCCTAAGGCTGAATCCACACATTATTGGATATCATGCTACTATAAATTTTCATACTCCAGCAGAAAGATCCAGGAGGTACATGACAGTGTCATATTCACTGTAGTTCCTACCTTTGTCTAAACATGTGTAGCTGCACTGCCTGCATATTCTTCCTCTGTTTATCTTGCCATCTATGTTGCTTACTTCTGTCTATTGCCTAACTCAGAAGTGCTCACTCCATAGCTTGCAGGAAGACACATTCGCAAATATCATTAACCAAAAGGGACCCCATTTACCTCCATACCTGGCATAGGATTGCCAACCTCCAGGTGGCACCTGGAGATCTCCTGCTAGTACAATTCATCTCCAGATGACCAAGATCAGTTCCCGGGAGAAAATGGCTGCTGTACAGCATTTCAACTGCCAGGGTCCTTCCTTCCCCTCCCCAAACCTCCAGATAGTTCACAGCCCAGAGCTGGCAACTTGGCATGAGGCCTACAGGGAGGCTTGCAGCTTACGTATTCCTCTAGCAGCAGCTGTTTCAAGGTAGAAACCACCTGCCAACCACTAGCCCCACTAGGCTATGACCTTGCACACTTTCCCGAAACATGGGGCAAATGTTACACTGGGAGCAGTCTTCAGAAGAGCCACACATTTAGTTTTGAAGAGCTGCATGAGGCTCCCAAGCCACTGAGTGAGCATCACTGGCATAGCCTATGCCAGATTTTAGACTGTGAGCTCCCAGAAAGGGACTGATAATTTTGTCAATACACTGTCTAAATGATCAATGAAACAATGCAGTGATGAGTGTTTTGGGTACTTCAGGAAAAAGTATTGACTACAGGGTTAAGGCCTAATAGCCGGAGCCTTGTGGACTCAGAGGTGCTGAACCTCCATACCTTCTGACTTGTATGGGAAACAAACCTCAGAAATTGTCCAGAATAAGATACATACTTGTTACAAAGGGAGCTAAAGATTCTGAGTGTTCTCATGGCCACGTTGCAATTTGGATTCCCTGGAAGAGATCATTGAGGGTGTTGGCAGAGTGGATATTTCCCCACTTTTGTCTATACCAAGCAGCCTGTTGTTTGGCCCAAAGCATGAGGGGAAGTCTTACCAGGAAATTAGGTGCAGGACTGGGGGTGGGGGAGACAGCAGCAACAAAGGAGAATCAAGTAAAATCGACTCTTTCTCTCATCCACTGATGCAAGCTGCAAACATAAAAGGGAGAAAGGGCAGTCTTGATTGATTCTCCATTGCCACGGCGGCAGCACCCCATGCTGGGGTGAATTTTGTTTGAGAAGCTCTCCTGACACTCAGAGAGATTTTTTCTGGACAAAAGGCTTGAGGAAGGCAAAGGTGGAAAACAATTTGCTGTTCAGCACCTTCCGTGAACTCTTCTGGTAGAAGCAGCTCAGAAATGCCAGAGCTGCAAACTAACTTCCTTATCAATTATGTTCTGTTACATAAGATGTTCTTCACAGAAACAAAGAGGTGTTTTTGATATCTTCCTAGGCTGCTCACCTTGTGGTCACCTGTCAGGCAGTCTATCTCAACCTCGGAGCAAGCTACACCATAGGTGAAGTAATGGAAGGCCTTTCCTTCATTCTTCTCAAAGTCATACCCAAGGTCAGGAATCCTTGAAAAAGAGCAGAAAACTAATCAAGGGAGGAAATCAGTATGAAGTTTACAAATTCACTGCTTATTGATTCAGAAGTCACCATTCTTCAACAAAGGAACTTCAGAGGGAGTATTTGGCATGAATTTTCTGAATGAAATGTTTATGAGTAAATTTTATTCTATTTTTTTAAAGGTAAAGGTAAAGGTTCCCTTGCTCGAAAGCCAGTCGAATCTGACTCTAGGATTGTGGTGCTCATCTCCGTTTCAAAGCCGAAGAGCCAGCACTGTCCGAAGACGTTTCCGTGGTCATGTGGCCGGCATGACTAAACACCAAGGCGCATGGAATGCTGTTACCTTCCCAGTGAAGTGGTACCTATTTATCTACTTGCAATTTCTTGCTTTCAAACTGCTAGGTTGGCAGGAGCTGGAACTAGAGATGGGAGCTCACTCCGTCATGCGGCACCCAGGTCTTGAACTGCTGAACTACCGACCTTCCACAGCCTGCAGTTCAGCGTCTTAACCACTTGAGCCACCGCAGCTATTTTTTTAGGCCTCGATAAAGACAACGGCTTCCCCTTACATTACAAATGCTGAAATATCTTCGTAACACTAGGAAGGCTGGGTTCTCAGACTACTACTGCTGTTGTGACTGGTCACTGTGCTTACTGTTTATTCATCTTTGCTTACATCTCCTTTCAAATTTCATGCCCATTTGGCCTGTGTGCAGTTTTTTTCTTTAAGCATACATTTTCTATATTATATGATACTGCACATGTCTAACTGTTAATTAAGTATAAGTATACATCTGATTAAATTGATTCTAGGAGCAGTTTTAGGATACATCAGCACCTCTTCCTGTTTTATTTCAACTGGGTCCTGGTGGTTGGGGGGGAGGGGGGAGCCTGATGGGAGAACAGCCCTGTGACTGGAATTGGAGGCAGGTGTGATGAGGGGCTGGGTGTTTCCAACCTCCAGTACCAGCATGCAAAGGAGGATGTGGGTTTAGCTGTGAAATTCCCTCCAAGACAGCATGCTCGCAGTAATACCCTCTGAATTGGGATATTGCCTCCTGCCTATCCCACTAGCAAACTCTGGAGGATGCAGGGCCAAACAGATGTTTCTATGAACTGGCTAACATGGTGGTCTTCAACCCCTGGGTTGGGACCCTCAGGAAAAGAAAAATAATGCCAAAGAACTTGTTATTCTTGCGGCAACAGACTGACATGTCTATTCCTCTGGAAGCAGATACATAACTCTTTATAAGCGTAGCCTTCGTGAAAGAAAGATGACTAAATTATATTTTTAATTATATGCCTAAACTCTCATATGTAATTATTCCATATCATTCAGACCAGCAGCAAATAAAGGGTGCTCGAGATGCCAAAGGCGCTTATAACAATTCAGAGAATCCCACCTAGACTGCTGACTCACCTGTAAAATCCTGTAGCAGACAGACTCACACAGTCTTGGTAGGCTGCTGACACCTGGTGGAAACATTAAGACAGCGTTCTTTTTTAGAAGGGGGGGGGCTTCTTTTTCTTGACCTGCAATGCCTGTAATGTACTCTGAGAAAGGTAAGAGCTGAGATGTTCATTATCAAAGCATAAATGAGTGCAACCACTGAAAACATAAAACTTGACACTGTTTACACCTTTTGTTTTGGAAGAACAGATTCCCTCTAGACAAACAGGGTCCAACTCTGTGTAACACAACACACAGAAAACACTGTTTCTGCTGTCCTCGAAATGTTTTACTTGAAGACACAGGATATGTGTGACTTATGCAGCCCAAACCTATACATATTTAATCAGAAGAAGCCCACACAATGTTTAATGGGGCTTACTCTCAGGTAAGTGTTGTAGGACTGCAGCCTTTGGAGCTTATAATATGATCCTAAGCAGAGTTATACCCTTTAACTGAGTTTAATGGGCTTAGAAGAGTGTAACTCTGCTTAGGATGGGACTGTTAGGATAGGACTATCTTCTGGCTTTGTGCTTGCCAATTTAAGTCTGTGGACAACCAGATCCTGTACTGGTAGCTCTACATCCTACAGCTAAGTTAGTACAGAAAATGCACATTCACCAGTGCCACTCCCTTGAGGTCCCACTGCAAGAGCAAAGGATGCCAGGTGGTGGTGAAACAAGATGGTGGGACAAGGTGGGGCAGGGACCAGACTCCAGGAAGGAGGAAGGGAAGCATGGTATAGAGCACCTGTTCAGGATTCACAAGCCAGGCCAAAGAGTCATCACAGTTCAGAGGGGCAGTGAGAAGAAGAAGAGAAGAGGCTGGATTTATACCCTGCCCTTCACTACCCAAAGGAGTCTCAGAGCCGCTTACAAACTCCTTTCCTTTCCCCTCCTCACAACAGACACCCTGTGAGGTAGGTGAGGCTGAGAGAGCTCTTTCCAGAACTGTCCTTGAGAGAACGGCTCTGACAGAACTATGGCTTGCCCAAGGTCATCCAGCCAGGTGCAAGTGGAGGAGTGGGGAATCAAACCCGGTTCTCCCAGATTAGAGTCCGCGCACTTAACCACTACACCAAAGTGGCAGCACATGATATGTAGACTCTCTTCCGGCCTACAACTCGTCACATCGCTATCCAGCATCTAGCACTGGTATAAGGACTGCCACTATCAGTCTCCTACTATAAGCTTTCAAAGAACAGAGTGAACAATGATAGCAAATTCGCTGTACTTGGCAGCTGCAAACTGCAGTGGCTACAAACATACCCAGTCTTCCCAGGATCCTTTTGGATTAGCAGATTTGATTGGCTCCAGTCTCTTTAAGATGGTCTGACAAGCATTCTTTAAAAAGAGAAGAAAGGAAAAGCACAAATAGTGAGACATTTAAAAATAGTCCTTTCCTACTGCAATGATGCATAGTAGTTTTGACTCATCATTGGGGCCTCTGCTTCAAAATGTGGCTGTGATCATCTGCTGATCTGCCCATCAGTAGGCTCTAGCCGCATGGTGAGCCAAACGTTACCACATTCCCCAAGCTGCGGAATCTAAATAAGTTTCTGTTCTTTAGAAGTAACCAAATATCACTGAAACTCCCACAAAAACGGTGCAACATTCACATTTCCCCTTGAACTGACATCAAGGACATTGCCTAATCTGGAGTTCTGATGCTACAGATAAGAGTGCAGAGTTTTTTGCTATAGACAATCAACAATGCTGGAGGAGGTTTGTGTGCAAGTAACATTTCTTACTGAAACAGCCATCCCATTGATATCAGCGCTGACAGATGCCGCTGTGGGAGCCGTATTTGGCACTGTGTTGGTGCTCGTCTCACTGATATGGATTTTAGAAGTGGGTATCCCCAGAGTTCTGCTGGCAACCTGTAGAAAGATAATATCCATCATGTCTTTATGCAGTCTTATCACTTGCCCAACAGTTACAGTGTAATCCTAAACAGAGTTACATTCTTCTAAGTCTATTGAAGTTAATGGGCTTAGAAGGCTGTATCTCTGCTTAGGACTCCACTGGAAGGTTCCTAGAACCTAAGTATTTTGTGCCAGTCTAGGTCTACAAAGCTTCATTTTAAAAAATCATAATGCCATGGAAGGAAAGTCAGTTACACAGTTCTGAAAGAAGCGGCTATAATTTTTCTTTATTTATTATTGTAAGTACAGTTAAACACAAATGGAAGATGTTACATGTCTGAAAAATATATCCACGTACTTAATAATTCTACATTTGTTATAAGACATTAACAGTTTCACATTTAAATTAAAAAAGATTCAAAACAAATCACATGATTAAATAGTTTAAAATTACCTATATGTTATTGCAGTGGAGCAAGCTTCTACTTTAGCTTTTTATTAAACAGAAAACCATGACCATCAAAAGAATATATCACTTGAAAACAACCTTGGAAAAATATCTCGTATTCATACATTCAGGCAATATTTCACTTAAATCAGTGAGAAAAGTCTGTTATGTGTTTCCTGTTATTTTGGAAGCATTAATATAGCACATGGACATAATCCAGAAGATGGATCAGCATGGACAGCTAGGCTTTTTCTCCCCCTCCCCCCCTCCCAAAGCAGCCTACTTATCATCCACCAGAAACCAGCTTGCAGTGAAATATAACCAAATAGCACTGTGGGAAAATGAAAAAGCTCGGTTTCAAATATGCAGTCAACATGTACATAAAGTTGCTGCCGAACGTAGCTGGATCAAGGATACTGCACTAGATATTAGTTTTCATAGCAATCAAATGGAGCAAGGATAATATTTACAAAAACAGTTCTGAAATGCCAGTACTCATCACTTACCTGGATCATCTTTGTGTGCAGTCCCTGGCCCATCTCAGTCCCACCATGGGTGATCAATACTGAGCCATCAGTATATATGTGCACCAAAGCACCGGCCTGCAACATCAAGCAGAGGTAGGCTGTCAGGCACTGCAGTCCTAGTCAGACTAAGACTACATACAATCAGTTTCCCCAGCTTCATATATATAGTAAAGGTAAAGGTTCCCTTGCTCGAAAGCCAGTCGAATCCGACTCTAGGGTTGCGGTGCTCAGGGCTATTTTTGTGCAGGAACGCACAGGAACGGAGTTCCGGCTGGCTCCCAAGTTGGCTACACCCAGCAGGAACTCATTAGCATAACAGGCCACACCCAACAGCAGAAACTCATTAGGATTGGCTAAATTAGGGGTGTGTGGCCTAACATGCAAAGGAGTTCCTGCTCCAAAAAAAGCCCTGGGTTTTGACAACAAACAAGGTAAACAGAATAAAAAGCAAAAGGTGGATGTGGCTGGATGACCACACTTCTGGTAACACGGGGATGTGGCCTAATATGCTAATGAGCTGTGCTGTCATGGGTGTGGCCTAATATGCTAATGAGTTCCTGCTGTTGGGTATGGCCTATTATGCTAATGAGTTCCTACTGGGCTTTTTCTACAAAAACAGCCCTGGCGGTACTCATCTCTGTTTCAAAGCCGAAGAGCCAGCGCTGTCCGAAGACGTTTCCATGGTCATGTGGCCAGCATGACTAAACACCAAGGCGCACGGAACACTGTTACCTTCCCACTGAAGTGGTACCTATTTATCTACTTGCAATTTCTTGCTTTTGAACTGCTAGGTTGGCAGGAGCTGGAACTAGAGACGGGAGCTCACTCCGTCATGCGGCACACTTGTATCTCGAACTGCTGAACTACTGACCTTCCACAGCCTGCAGTTCAGCGTCTTAACCACTTGAGCCACCGCAGCTCCATTCATATATATACACATACATAAATTCTAATCATTCCTGTTACCCAGTAATCCCTTGACCACACTTATCAACTTAACAACACTGAGTTCCCTGGAGAGTCAATCATACGTAACATTTCCCTATGCATTTGGTATGAGGATGTTCATGAATCACTCAAAGATTTTCAATTGTGTCTTCATATTTTCTGCTGTCATGCAACCATGATTGTACTTGTGAGACTTCTGATATTTATTGGGAATCAAAAAGAAATGTGTATACTGATTTGTTCAAGTAGATCATGAAAATCTGGAACCAAATTGTGTCCAGGTGCATGACTCTGAACATTTCTCTTACTAAGGAATCTTCTGGTTTTTATTTTTTCAATTATTTGCCATTAACTCTCAGCTGACTTGCGGAGACCCCATAGGAGTTTCAAGGAAAGAGATGTGTAGAAGTGTCTTGCCACTGCCTGCCCCTGCATAGCAACCCTGGCCTTCCTTGGTGGTCTCCCATCCAAGTACTAACCAGGGTTGACCTTGCTTAGTTTCTGAGATCTGATGAGGTTGGGCTAGCTTGGATTAGAGTTTGACACATTTTGGCACACAGATTATCTACACTGGTCAGCACAAAATCTTGCTTTCCGATTGAAAAACAATTAAGGATGCTTCCCGACCTGATTAAGAAAGGGGACTGTGAAGCTGATCCCAAACTTGGTTGGAATAATAGCCATGCCTCTCTTCTTCCAGCGATTTTGCCTGGGAGAATAGAACAGCATCAATATTTCATGTTTGTTTGTTGACATGCATTCATCCTAAACTGGACACACAGTTTGTGCCTTCTTCTAAACAATCCAGTATCTGAACCAGTCTAGCTTTTAAGAGGAATTCAATAAAACTAATACTTAGCAAACTAATAATGATGCAGTTTACATTTCAGCTCAGTCATAAGAAAAAAATCCAAATGGGGCAGTGTTCCCCCCAAATGATCAGAGGTCACTTATATTGGGTCTGAATATAAGCCACTTAAGAAAGTCACAAATACTATGAGTGCCAGGTCCCAAAAGACAGGAAATTGCCTACAACTTGTTTGAAACATTTCTTAAACTTCCCTAAGCATGGAAACACAACTGATAAGCTATCCTCCCCACAGTCACACACCATAGGTCTGATGCAAAGACTCCTTTCCATTATAAAAAGATTTTAACTTTTCTGTATGTTTCTTGTCTATAGATAAAGATATGCATGCATATAATCAATGCTTCAATAATGAGCCTTACATTGATAAAAGCAAAACAACGCAGGTTACTTTTGGTGTAATTCAGGCCAAAGTAACTCACAAATCAATCAAATCACTGCTTTCACATCATTCAGACTTCCAACAAGAGCCTTTCTCCATTCATTTCAGTGACCAGTACTGACAGGATGTAGGGAACATATCCCCAGGAAATGACAGTTGGTTGCACTGTGGGTTATTCTAACCTGTACTGAGCCTCTGAAAATAAAAGTATCTCAAACAGGAGAGTCAAATCTTGATTGCAGGACTCCACCGTACAAAAAACACAGTTTAAACTAGAACCAGAATTTTAAAGTTAAGATTATTCTTAGAAGTAAGAAACCTACCGGTTGAACTCATCAACGAGTTTCCTTCTGGAGTGATAGTCTGAATTTACAAGGCATTCTTCCCAGCATCTTCGCAAGGTGAATCCTTCCAACTTTTGATTGAAATGAGTCAGATCTCCTTCATTATACAGATTGAGCTTTCGCACCTTCCCAGAAGCAAAGGACAAGTTAGTTGCTCTCTACCAGCATTTCAAAATTCTGTGATCTTTTAAAAACCTACATTTAGGGCAAAGTGTATACAGGGTACCCTGATCCTAAATGCATTGCATGGAGATTAATTCCACTAAAAGTATTAGGGCTGCCAAATCCCCCCAGGGGGCGGATTTCCCCCCACTTTGGAGGTCCAATTTCCGCCCCCGCGGAATCGGCCCCCGGGGAATACCCACCCCCGCGTGCACGTCACAGGAAAATGACACGGTGACGCCGGGGACGCTGGGGGTGGGGCACAGCCATTTGAGGGGAAAACTCTATGTTTTCCCCTCAAATGGCTGTGCCCCACCCCCAGCATCCCTGGCGTCATGACGTCACTTCCCTGTGACGTGCATGCTGCTGGGAGCCAGCACAAAGTCCCCCGCCGGCAGAGGTAAGTCGATTTGGCAACCCTAAAAAGTCTACAGAGAACCAATACGTAAGGGACTGGTGCCCAACATCCTTGAATTTAATGGGTTTTTTGGCATCCAACTTTATGAATGGTTCTGATGATTGCCTGGAATCCAATCATATTGTTTGATGGAAATTGCTACCACGGGACACTGGTTGACAGACATTCAGTGGGTAAAATATTACTTTTACATCAGCTGAAGGCCTTGACCATCCTAAATGGCATACTTTGTGTCTACATCTCTGTCCATGCATACCTCTTCTGCTGGCAACCCACACTTCAAGGCAATGTCGCTCATCCAGCACTCCGCAACCATCATTCCCTGGGGACCTCCAAACCCACGAAACGCTGTGTTGGCAGACAAGTTTGTTTTACACACTATGCCTATACCTTTGATGTTTGGGATGTTATAAGAATTGTCCATGTGAAATAAAGCTCTGTCCATAACCTGGTAATCAACAGACACAAGGCAGGTCAAGAATTTGCATTTTGTTGTTCAAAGTTTTATTTTTTTAAATACATAATATATAAAATACTTTCCCTCTCATAACCCATTTTCTTTCCCATCCCTAAGTGGGAGGGGAGGAATGAAAGACAAAAAGATAATTAAATAAAACAAAAGAAGAAGAAAAGAAGAAAACGGGAGGTGAACCTTATCGAAACAGATTTGCTTTATATTAGGTTTCACAGAGCTCTAAAAATTCAGCCCAAATTCCATTATAGTTCTCTGAAGCTCTATTCTTAAAGTATCAAATACTCGTCTTTGGACCGAAGACGACTAATACAAAAAAAGATCCCATAAATTCATTGAAACCCAGATAGGTTCCATAGATTGGGTCTCATGGACTACAATAATAGCTGAAAATGTGTTGTGCCTGGAGGGACATTGTTTCATATGTTATTGACTTGTCCCATCGTCACAGCATTCCAGCAAGAGGTGGGGAAACATAATGACATTGTCCTGGACCCATCTGTTCAGTTTAGCTATCGACCTACTCATAGGCTGTGTTTGGGAATGCTCATCAGCTACAAACTTTGTTAATAAGAATCTACATGTTTAATAAGCTGTATTTGTTCGATGGTTCTATAATAGCTAGCACTTAATTACACATTTTAATTCACAGAGCAACTTCAGAAAATACATTCCTGTAGTTAAGAGAGATAAAATACATTCCTGTAGTTAAGACTGGTGTGTATTCTATCACCACACTCAGCTAAGGGCATTCCATTGGTGCAAGTTTCATCAGCACAAGGTGCACCCTACTGATAGAGGACAGGATGTGCCAACAGAACACACCACCATTTGCTGAGCAAAGAGGTAGGATATAACCTGAGAAAGCATTCCTGAAATCACAGTTTATTGAAATGGTAGCGAAGATTTTGTAACTAAATCTAAAATGATCCCAACCAAAAATTACCATTGCAATCCTAAACAGAGTTACATCCTTAGGGGTCATTTCGTAGAAAAAGAGCTAGGGGAACTCATTAGCATAACTCATTAGCATATGCCACACACCCCTGACATCAGGGGCCCGGCGGTGGACCTGCAAGGCCAGCGGGAGTGTGAGGAAGCCCCGCCAAGGCCCACCCTGGCCCCAGGCAGGCAGGGGTGGGGAGAGGCGGGGAGGAAGCAACTTACCCTCCCTCTTCTCCTGCCTCCTCCTGGCTGAATGAGGGCTGGAAGCGGGGCGGCCGGAAGCAGGGGGCGGGGCTTCGTCATGTGCCCTGCCCCCCTGCACCTCACCCGGGGGAACTGTGTTCCCCCGCGTTCTCCCCCCGAAATGACCTCTGGATGTAACTTTATTTAAGATTGCACTGTACATGTTACATGCAAATGTGCAATGAAGCTCTGACATAATTTGATTTAACAAAAAGATTTGGGGAGGAGACAGTTTTAAGTGGAGGGAGAGGGTATAACCCTTTAGCTGACCACAGTTTTTCTCCTCCAAGTTCCCCAAAACTGCTTTTCTGCTGCATGTGTATTTATGCTCAAAAGTGTCTACAGAACCCACTGGGGAATATGTGTAGGAGAGATTTAAAACAGCAAACCCTGCCCCACTGCCCAAAATCACTTCCTCAAGAATCTTTCCCCAAGGTTCTTATCATTTTAAATAAAAGCCACTGAAACATTATTACACATATTTTAGCCATTTTAGCTCTATATATGCCCCCGGAATATTGTAATCTTTCCGTTAAAAAACTCAATACCTTACTTCTTTCTGTGCTGACAGGACCTGACCAAACAAGAACAGATCTGAATGTTTCTACTTACACCATAAGAAAGATCCACAGAGTTGCCTCCATTGCTATAATATGAAACTTCCAGACCAGTAATCCTTCCATTTTTCTTGAAACCAACCTGGAGGAGAGCAGAACAAAAGAAATAACATTGCAGAATTTAGCTTTTTCCAATTTCAGAAAGTTTTTTGGGGAGGAGTTGTATTTTTCACATGTGCATGTGTGTGTATGCACCTGGAAGTCATGGCAACCTCTGGTGACTGTGTGTGCACCTGGACATCATGGCAACCTCTGACAGAAAAGGCCCTGGCCCTAATTGAGGCTAAGTGGACTTTTGGGCCAGGGACTACCAGTAAATGTTGACCTGCAGAGCACAAGGCTCTCCAGAGAACATATGGGGAGAGACAGTCCCACAGGTATGCTGGTCTCAGACCACACACAGCTTTAAAGGTCAATACCATAACCTTGAACTGCATCTAGAACTTTAGTGAGGCAATAGCTGTTCAGACCCTGGATATTTAAAGTCAGACACTAATTCTCCCTAGGATGATATATGGGCATATGCTATAAACATTAACAACACAATTTTAACTGGTGTAACTTCACTCAGGATTGCCTGGAAGTCCCATTTACATTTGTTAATATTTATTTATTTATTGGATTTATATCCCACCCTCCCCGCAAATGGGCTCAGGGTGGCTCACAATTAGCAGCACCAGGGGACTTCTGGTTTTGGCAGTCGCCATGGCGGTCGCTTTTCCCGATCCTCTGGGAGAGGACTGCCAGGGCCGCAGTGAGGAGGGGCGCAATTGTCCGCACCACCCCCGGAGCCTCTGCAGGAGGCTCCTAGCCATGGGGAGCTAGAAGATTCTTCCTCCGGAGATTCTGCCGGTGAAAGGGGACTCTCTCCATGCCCCAAAGGTCCCGCCACGGAGCGTCCCAAATGGGAATTAGAAGCACACACCGGAGCAAGTGTTTGGTGGCTGAGCGATTTGCAAAGTAAAGCGGATCTATCGTTGAAATGTGAGTTGGAGTTTAAGCAAGAACCACTGAAAATTTAAGCAGAAACCTACCCTTCAAAAGCGAGGGGGGGACTCTCCTCCGATAAGAAAAACTAAGTGAACTTTGCATCTATATGAAAAGGGGGAAGGAATATTGAAGCAAGAGAGACTGAAATTAAAAGCATTTAAGAACTTACCAATCTGTATTGGGAGAATCAGAGACTGTGATAACTTGTAGAAAGAGTAAACAATCTCAAACATGGTGCCCATGAGGAAGGATGAGAAAGACAAACAAGTAAAACCAAAACTTCTTGCTGGAACTGCTGGCTTAGCGAGTCCTGCCCCTAGACAGGACACATCTACAGAGCTACAAAAGATGCTGACGGAAGCATTCTGATCCCTGCTGGACCAAGTGACGGCACTGCACAGCAAATTCGACGCACAGCAATTGCAATTGACTGAAATAGCCAAAAAACAGATAAAACTGAACAAGAAGTAAAAGAAGTGGATACCAACACCAAAAAGCTTAAAAAACAACTGCAGGTGATGGGGGGGAAAGAGAGTGATGGAGGAGTCTCAACTTTTACAGCTACAAATGGAGAGAGAAAGCTATGTCTTAAGATTTCAAGGTGTTCCTGAAGAAAAATCCGAGAATCTGAAACAGACTATGTGTGATGCATTAGGACCTATGGCAGATATAAAAACGGACACCTTACAAAGTGAAATAGATATGATCTGTAGATCATATCCAGAATTTACAAGGAAAAATAATCTGCCTGGGGAAGTGATTATAAGATTCTCTAGAAGACAAGTGAGAGATCAAATTCTCAAAGCGACAAATGGATCTACCTTGAAGATCAAAGACAAAGAAATAAAAGTATTAAAGGACATCCCATTTGAAATAAGAAGGAAGAGGAGGAAATATAGAGACGTGGTGATATTTTTACAAAAGAAAAACATCCCCTACAGATGGTTAGTACCCGAATGTACAATCTTCGAATTTATGGACAAGAAAGAAAAAATCGACTCTGTTGAAAAGGCACGAGAATTTCTGCGTCTACATAGTCGTCCATCAGGAGAGGTTGAAGCTGAGAAAGAGGACAGCACCAAAGACAGCGAAGAAGAAGGAGCAGCAGCGTCTCCAGACAAGGACTCAGACTCTAAATTAGGGGCAGCTGACCCAAACAAAAGCTATCATTTAAGAAAGCCAAAGTATATAAAAAAGATGTTATCACACTCAGAAAACTCTCAAGATGTATTGATATGTCTTATATTGCTTTTTAAGAAGTCAGAATTAATGGTGTTTAAAGTCATATTATTAGTATAAATTGATTGTTAGATGACCACATTCAATGAGCTTAAATTGAATTATGAGCTAAAAGCTAATTTTGGTAAGCAGTTTGTATGACCACCATCTCTTGGGTTTTTAGTGAGTTTTCTTTACTTTTACCCGTAGTATGTACTTTCCTTCCCTATTTTCGTTGTAGTTTTATAGTTTGTAGTTTATAGAAAATGCAAATTTAAAAAATCCACTTTGGGGGGCACAAAACGAGATCACATCCGGCCTGTGCTGAAAGCGCTGCACTGGTTGCCAATAGCGTACCGGGTTCGCTTCAAAGTGCTGGTTATTACCTTTAAAGTCCTATATCGTCAGGGACCAGCCTACCTAAGGGACCGCCTTGCCCCACATGTTCCCCCAAGGGCACTACGGTCGGGGAGCCGGAACCTATTGGATGTACCAGGCCCCCGCTCCATCAAACTAACTATGACCAGGAACAGGGCATTTTTGGTGGCGGCTCCTATCTGGTGGAATGAGCTCCCAGAGGAGATCAGGGCTCTGCGGGACCTAGCACAGTTCCGCAGAGCCTGCAAGACGGAGCTCTTCCACCAGACTTTCGAATAGGAGCCGCCGCCACCACCAGTGTACCACCAATGCACCAGTGTACCATCAACGCCCTGGATTTTCTGTATATGGATTTGCTGTATACGGATTTTCTGTATATGGACATCAGGACATAAGAACATAAGAACATAAGAGACGCCAATGTTGGATCAGGCCAAAGGCCCATCCAGTCCAACACTCTGTGTCACACAGTGGCCAGAAATACCAGTGCCATCAGGAGGTCCAGCAGTGGGGCCAGGACATTAGAAGCCCTCCCACTGTTGACCCCCCCCAAGGAGCTCTTCCGCCAGGCTTTCGAATAGGAGCCGCCGCCACCACCAGTGTACCACCAACGCACCAGTGTACCATCAACGCCCTGGATTTTCTGTATATGGATTTTCTGTATATGGACATCAGGACATGGGCATGTACCACCAATGCCCCCCCAAATAATGTCTGCATCATGGGTGAGAACGGGACGTTTGGGGGATGGCCATCTTGCTTTTAGAAAGTGTAACTTATGTCATTCAGAGGAGCATCAAAAATTATTTATCAACTGTGATGTATTTTTAATATTTTGTACTGTTTTTATTGTTTTATGTAGCAATATGCTTGTTAGCCGCCCTGAGCCTTCGGGAAGGGCAGGATAGAAATGTGAATAATAAATAAATAAATAAATAATTTTTTTAAAAAAAACCAAACAATTAGCGGCACCATGTACCAAGTCACATAAAACATATAAAAACAGAATAAAACAATCATACAGTACACAATTAAAGTGCTCGCAATAATGGTCGTTCATTCAATCAGTTAGGGATGGCATGCTATAAGGTGTAACACTAGAGTCCTGGTTCAGCGGTATACCAGCCGGCCACAAAGCTGTGGCTCAATCTCAATAAAGGGCCAACCTATTACCACGATGTTGCTAATAATACTAGTTGGTGGTAGTGATGGGCGGCTCCTAGTGAAAAGCCTGGTCTTGCAGACCCTGTTAAATGGTGCAAGGTCCTGCAGGGCCCTGATTTCCTCCGGGAGCTCATTCCACCAGGTAGGAGCCGCCACTGAAAAGGCCCTGGCCCTAGTAGCAGCAAGCCTGGCATCCTTAGGGCCTGGAACGATTAGACGATGTTGTGACCCCGACCGTAGTGCTCTCTGGGGTAGGTATGGGGAAAGGTGGTCCCTCAGGTATGTCGGACCCTGGCCATATAGGGCTTTAAAGGTAAGTACCAGCACCTTGAAGCAAATTCAGTATGCTATTGGCAGCCAGTGCAGTGCCTTCAGCTTAGGCTGGATGTGCTCCCATCTAGGGAGGCCCATCAAAAGCCTGGCTGCGGCATTCTGCACTAGCTGCAGCTTCCGGATTTGTGACAAGGGCAGGCCCATGTAGAGAGCATTACAGTAGTCTAATCTCGAGGTGACCATCACATGGATCACTGTAGCCAGGTCATCGTGGTTGAGGAAGGGAACCAACTGCCGAATCAGCTGAAGATGGTAAAAAGCTGACTTAGCAGTGGCTGCCACCTATGTCATGATGCGGGGCTAGGCAGGGGCGAGGTAGTCAGGATACAGTCTGAGGTCAAGAGCCAGTCACGCAAGTTAGCTGGAAATCAAGTCCAATACACAAAACAAAAGTGGGGTGATCAAGGTACAGTCCAAGGTCATGAGCCAGGCAAGCAAACCTACCAGGAAGCCAAGTTTAAAGCACAAACCATTAGAGTCATCAGGAAACCAGAGTCCAAAAGAGTCAAGAGCTAGAGAGTCAAAAGTTCGGGTTGCAGAATTGAAGCGTGGTCGTTCAAGCCGAGGTCAAGGAGCCGAGGAAATCCAGACAGGAACCAGAAGTTGGGATCATGAGCGAGGAGGTGCAGAGCTTTCGTCCGACGATTTGTCAGCATGAGGGCGTGGGTTAAATAGCCCATACGCCTGCTGGCAATTAGAGCGCCTCAAGCGAGTCCCGGCTCCTGCTAATACTCAGGGCTGAATGAGCATCTGCCACGCATAAGTGCCTCGTGCCGCCGGGCTGCCATCTCCCGGCGGCGCTGTTCCCTCAAGCAGGATATGGGTGGGGGCGAATCAGGAGGAGAACTGTCTGGGCGTGCTTTTGCCTCAGCTGTTGCTGGGGTAGCCTCTGGAATCTCAGCCCCATCAGGTGCGAGAGTTTCTGGCACTGAGAGCTCATCCCCAGCAGCACTTAGATCCTCTGCTGGGGCCGCTTGTTCACACTCAACGGGAGCTGCTTGCTCACAGTCAGCTGGAGCCGTGACAACCTGGGCCTCCATGGCTAAGGAGGAGTCCAGGAGCACTCCCAAGCTCCTCACCTCTGGCGCTGGCACCAGTGGTGCCCCGTCGAAAGTTGGGAGTGAGATCCCCATCCCCAGACTGCCCCGACTCAGGCACAGGACCTCCGTCTTCGTCGGGTTTAGTTTCAGCCGGCTCAGTCTAAGTCAATCAGCCACAGCTTGCAATGCCTGGTCCAGATCTTCTGGACTAGAGTCCGACCGGCCGTCCAACATCAGATAGAGTTGGGTGTCATCAGCGTACTGGTGACAACCTAGTCCAAACCTCTGGGCAATCTGGGCAAGGGGGCGCATGTAGATGTTAAATAACATCAGGGAAAGCACTGCCCCCAGAGGCATATGACCTTATCATCTAAAAACAAATTTCTAGTTACCTTATACTGTCCCAAAAAGGGGTGTCTCCCACCAGATATCAGCATATCTTCATCTCGATCCAGCATGCACCGTACTGGGCAGCCGGTTCTGAAAAGTTTACAAAAATAAGGCTGAGAATGAGACTGAGATGAGGGTATTTCTAACACACATTACAAGGCTGATTTCCAAAGGCACCACAATTACAGTTTCCTAAGGAGAGCCTATCTTAATCTCCATTTGGTTCTAACTAGATTATTGGACTCATGTCCCAAATCTATATTGGATTCCAGAAGTTCCAGTGCCACTTTTGGATTTACAAGGATCCAGTGGGTTCAGATAGTTCCAGTGTAGCCTCTGCAATGCAGTTGTGGGCTCACTGAACTGGTGAAGCATCTAAAAACTACTGTTTTGAACCCTACTTTAGTGGTTTAACTAACTTTTCCTTAGAAGGAAGAGAAGTTCTTTCCCCATAGTAAACTAAGGAGTTCTCTTTCACCTGAAGGTTTCTAAAAACGAGTGTGCTAGATCATCCTCTGCTAGTATTCCCAGCTCACCTCATAGTATTGTTTCTGCCCATCCACCCATCCCTCATAATAGGTTTGGGATCATCCTCTAATTCTAACCCATATCCAGTGGTGGTTTTTGCCTGCTGCCCATCCTTTATGTATGGCTTCACCCCAGCTATACCTGGATAGCAGAAGCTTAGCATATGTATGAAGACTGTACTGAGAAGGAAGCAAAAGCCCTGTTGGTCTACTGTTGCAAATAAAGTTCTGCCCTAGATCAACTTCTGGTCACACTGGCTTTGCTTCCCATAACATGAGGCATTATGAGTGACTTGGGTATTCCCATATTTCCAGATATTTTTGTGCCTCTCCTCCATGATGCCCAATACAAGTTCCAGTCTAAATACAAGAAAAATTATAAATTCATATGTGGAGCACATGTGCAAGCTTTGGAACGGAAGCATATGTGTTTTCTTAATCCCCTTAAACAGGGAGATGAACTAGGATGGAAAACCAGGACTTGAATTCATTGGAACTTACTTAACTGCAGCCACTGCAACAGCAGTTGAGACAATAGTGCTTCTTGTTTCTTTTCCTCCAAAACCTCCTCCCATTCTCTTTACTCGAACCACAATTCGATTTGATGGGACCCCTACTGCTTTGGCAACAAATTCCTAAAATGGAAACAAACCCCCCCCCCCAATATGCACAGCACATCAGTCCAGTGAGTAGCAATAAAGTTGCTGAGAAGAAAACACATATGTTGTCCTCTGCCTAAACAAGCTTTCATACATGTGATATTATGGCAAACACCTCTGTACCCTAAACTGGAAACCGACAGTAAAGTTTTGGATCTTTCTTTACCAGCTTGCCTAGGTATCATGTTATTGTCTTAGCATCAAGAAATAAATTGGATGCTTTCTCAGTTGCTTAGTTCTCTGTTTATTGGTTCAGAACTCTTCACAAAGATGGATGAAAATGTCAGGCTGGCAGCTTTGAAGAATAAAAGTTTCCCTTTTTCATGAGAGTGTAAAGCATTCCATTTCCCAAGAGCAACCTGTCAGTGTGCCTTACATGTATTCTTTCATCTTCACCAACACAATTTTGCTATTCAGCTTCCATCTCGAGCCAGTACTTTCTTTGTACTAAGACAGCCAACAGGTGGTAAACATCTCAGGGGAAAACATTCTGGAAGTGGAGAACAGCATTCTCTGGACTAATCCAAAGCAGATTCAACCACCCACACCTACTACCCAAGATGGTTAAGGAGACACAATCTCAACTTTCAATGTCCATAAGCCTCTGAACATGAGAAGATAGGAGCAAATGAGAGTAGGCTCTGCTCCTTAGTCTCTGGCTTTGTCATGAGCATTCAGTACTTGCCAATACTACAAAGAGGATAAACAACATCTTAGATCAGGGGTCCCCAACCTTTTTGAGCCTGTGGATACCTGAGGGATTCTGACACAGGGTGGTGGGAGAAACTACAAAATGGCAGCTACAGGAGGTGGAACCAGTCACAAAGAGGCTGCTGCAGGAGGTGGAGTCAATGCTCCCTCTAAGCTGTGGAGTCTTGTGAGCAAAAATTCTATTTTGTGAGCTACTGGCTTTAAGGTTGTGAGCGAGCGATTTGGCTACTGCATAAATTAGTTTGCTCTGGAGCCATCCTTCCTGAGCTAAGACAAAAATGTGTGAGCCGGAAGCTAAAAAACTGTGAGCTAGCTCACACTAACTCAGCTTAGAGGCAACACTGGGTGGAGCCAACCACAAAATGTCAGGGAGGGAGGTCATGCACAACTCTAATAGTAACCCTTCCGTATTTCAGGCAGAAGGTCTGTTTATCAAGATGCCTTTTAAAAATGAACATACTGTTTTAAAATATTTCCTTGCATACACATAGCTTACCTTTAGTTATATTACTCTCCTGGCTTTCCATAAACTATGCAAAACTGAATTATTCAAGAAGGCTTTTCTACACAGACAATAGCACAAAATTATTCACAAAGTTATTTGGACAAATTACTGACTGATTAGTTTGTCATGTCATGTTCATGCCTATAATGTAAATAAATAGCATAACTAAGGAACCTTGTGCTGTGGTGGCAGCTGCGGCCAAAGCAACTTTTTAAAAATCTGCACAGCCAATCAACTCTCCAAAGGCCAGTCAGAAGCCCTGCTAGGCAAAGGCCCCACTTGACTCCACCCACTTTCTAAAAACACCTGGCAGGTGCCAGGAAAGGTGTTGGTGGGTGCCATAGTGTTCATGGGCAACACATCCGGGACCCCCTGTCTTAGATCACTCAACGGGTCCAGAAGGCAGCAGCACATCTGCTGAAGGGACTACATCAAATCTAAATTACAGCAGTATCAAATCAATTGTTTCTAGGTCTAGTTCAAGGTGCTCTGGACCTTAAAGGTCTAGTTATAGTCTGTGGTCCCTACACTCTAAAGAAGGCTTCTCCCATAATGAGCTTGGATGGTCATCCCATCTTTCTGTTCCTGCCCCAAAAGAGACAGTGTCATTTCCTGGACCAGAAGGTCTTTGGTGGCAGCCCTATCCTTGTAGAACAGGCTGGATTTTAGATGACTAATATTAGAGTTTTATATGGAAGCGACTTTGAACACGGGAAAGCAATATAATAATATATTAAACAAATGAATGAACTGACCCAGATGTAAACAGTTAAATGTAAAGATTTCACACACATTATAGTCTTCATACTTCATTTTTAGTTAGCTTGGTAAGTCTAACGAGCAGCACTCCAAAAATCAATCAAATCTGTACAGCCCCCCCCCCCCAATATCAAAGCCACTCCCAGACAGGACAGGTCACCTGTGTGACTGCTGGATTCTGGGTAGATACAAAGAGTTCCATTTCTCCATCTTCCCCTTTTGGCACAGCAATTGTGCAGTGAGTCTCCAAATAAAAATGCTCCTGGCCACCTATGTAGATTTCCCCTGAAAAATAAATGAAGCCCACGATAAAAGTTGATCAGAAACCAACCAGTCAAATGAAGATATTTTAATGAAATGCGAAACCTATTATGCAAATATTAGTTATTTGATGGTAACTGCATAACAAAGGCCCACAGCTATATAGAGCGGGAAAGAGACCAGATGAACTGGTCTTCATGCTCACCTTCCACAATATGATCAGCTTCTTCAAACCCTTTCTGAATATTTCCTTTTTCAATCTTCCTTATAAGGTCAAAAAAAGACTGTTTCTCAATGGCTTCCTGTCCAAATGACAATAAGTTACTTGCAGTTGCAGCAACCAACTTTGCTGTATATAGACTTCTGATCATCTCTACCTTTTCTATTGAACCTAACAAGGAGTTTTGCATAATTTAGCCAAAACTGGATTGATATAACACATGCTTCCATATAGCAATTATCTATTTCTATTATGTCACTGTAGCAGTTGAATCTTGTCATGGCAAAGTGGGGGGAAAACTGTACATAATAAAATTCCCTGTTACAACTTTAGAAGCCTTACTCTCTATTGAATCTTGTCACACTATGTTTATCTCTTATTAACTTGGAACAACATGGTAATAAATGTCTACTACAGCCTCACTCTATTTATTGTTCTTTATAGTTATTATACTGAAACGAAGGAGGTCTGAACCTGGAAATGACTGGATGGACTTAGTCAACGTGCACTGGACCATTTCAGGGAACTGCTGCCCTGGAGTGCCACTGGCACCCAGAAACAAGCTGAGCCAATTCTCAGTTGTGCTAGTAGGTTGGACCCAACCATAGCGACAATTAATAGGTGAGCCTATACCCATTGTTGTTGTTGTCATGGTCATCATCATCATCGTTAACAAAAATTACATCCCACATTTTTGCCCTTACAAGGGCCACCAAGGTAGCTATCAGCTTATAACATACAAGATAAAATTACGTTATAAAATCATTAAAATCAACTCTGTAGTGTTTTGTACCAACTGAAGTTTCTGAACCATTGTCAAGGGAAGCCCCAGGTAGAGCACTCTCCAGTAATCTAATCTTGATGTAACCTGTGCATGTACCTCAGTGGCCAGATCTTTTCTGCCCAGGGAAGACTGCAGCTGACTAACCAGTCAAAGATGATAAAAGGTACTCTTGGCCACACTGCCACCAGATTATCCAGCAGCAGGCCTGCTGGAGTACCCTCAGACTACAGACCTGTGCCTTCAATTGGCCAGATCTGAGCCAAGAGACTTTGCTCCTGGGCCATTTTTAATACCCCACCCCCACCTTCAGCACCTAGGACTTTATTTCAATATGACATCCAATAGTGAGACAGAAGAAAGACCAAGTGGGAAACACATGTTGCTCACTATAGATTATTCATGGGCTATGTACTGACTACCCTACATTTGCTAAATAATCAGTCTATACAACTAATGTTACATGTTTTCTATTTTATACAGATTCAGAACTACACATAACCATATTAAATCAGTAAAAACATCCCCAAATGACTATTTTTAAAAGTATCTAAGCAGCTAGCGTTCCATAGGTTTGAACTGGAACATATCTCATATTTGTGCCTCCTTACCTCAATGGTGACAATTGGTGTAAGCTCTTCATATGTAATCTTGACAACTCTAGCAGCTCTCCGGGAATGTTCTTGTGTGTCTGCCATTACCCCGCCAATGATGTGGCCAACACATGTGACCTAGAAGTCAGACAGTTTAGTTTACTTGTGGAACTTTTCTTTGATCTCATTGATTTCATTTTGGAGAGATTATTATTTTTGAAAATCACAGCTGCTGTGGTGTAACATTTACAGTTCCATTCTAAGCAGAACTGCACCTTTCTGAATATAGTGAAGTTAAAGAGGTTAGAAAGGTGCAACTCTGCTTATTTGTTTATTTATTTATTTATTTCATTAGATTTCTTAACCGCACTTCCCCGCTTAATCGGGGCTCAGGGCAGTTTACAATGACATAATTCAATACAATTTTAAAACCAATTAAAACTACAGGGATTCAATATTAAAACATTCAGCATAAATATTTAAACACTTTAAAAAACAAGATGGCATATCTAGCATTCAGATTTTCATGGAGGGGGAGGGGAGGGTACTGGGCAGATGTAAGGGATCCTTCGCTGGCCTCAACGAAAGGCCTGGCGGAACATCTCTGCCTTGCATGCCCTGCAGAACTTAATAGCTCAGACAGGGTACAGAAGTCATTCAGCAGAGAATTCACCAGGCTAGGGCCAAGGCTGAGAAATCCCTGGCCCTGTTGAGGCCAGCCAGATATCTTTGGGGCTGGGAATCACCAGGAGATTCTTATCTGCTGACCTCAATGCCCTTTGGGGAACATATTGGGAGAGGTGGTCCTGAAGGTCCGTCGGTCCCTGATTGTTAAGGGCTTTAAAGGTGAGCACCAAAACCTTGAATCTGATCTGGTGCTCCACTGGCAGCCAGTGCAGCTCGCCCAGCCCTGGATGGATATGTCAGGGCAGTTTACAATGACATAATTCAATACAATTTTAAAACCAATTAAAACTACAGGGATTCAATATTAAGCATAAATATTTAAACACTTTAAAAAACAAGATGGCATAGCTAGCATTCAGATTTTCATGGAGGGGGAGGGGAGGCTGCCGGGCAGATGTAAGGGATCCTTCGCTGGCCTCAACGAAAGGCCTGGCGGAACATCTCTGCCTTGCATGCCCTGCAGAACTTAATAGCTCAGACAGGGTACAGAAGTCATTCAGCAGAGAATTCACCAGGCTAGGGCCAAGGCTGAGAAATCCCTGGCCCTGTTGAGGCCAGCCAGATATCTTTGGGGCTGGGAATCACCAGGAGATTCTTATCTGCTGACCTCAATGCCCTTTGGGGGACATATTGGGAGAGGTGGTCCTGAAGGTCCGTCGGTCCCTGATTGTTAAGGGCTTTAAAGGTGAGCACCAAAACCTTGAATCTGATCTGATCGCACAGCACTGGATGGATATGTGCCCCCTGTGGAGTCCCCATAAGGACCCACGCAGCTGCATTTTGTACCAGTTGGAGCTTCCAGGTCAGTCTCAAGGGTAGCCTTACATAAAGCAAGTTACAATAATCCAACCTGGAGGTGACCGTTGCATGGATTACTCTGGCAAGGTCAGGGAGAGACAGGTAGAGGGCCAGCTGCCTAACTTGGTTCAGTTGGAAAAACGCCTGCTGTACAACTTTGGCGATCTGGGCCTCCATTGATAGAGCAGGGTCCAAGGTCACCCCCAGGCTCCTGATGGTAGGTGCCGGTGTCAGAGGCACCCCATCAAGGGCTGGGAGTTGACAAGGGTTGCACTGTAACTTGTTTAAAACATGTTAAGCAATAGTTTAAGAACACAGCCTCGTTCACATTGTAAAACAGAAGTGGATTTATGTCTGCATCAGTTCAGTTGCCTATGACCTTCTACTTCAAATATAGAAAGCTTGCGTCCAACCCCATTTTTTGTCATTAACTATCCTTGATTTATAATTACTAATTACTTCCCAGTTTGTACATGCTAGTTAGTACAATGAAGCTAGAACTTCATTTAAGAAGTGTTAATCTCCCCAAAATTAGTTTGCACAAATGTCCTGCACCATTTTTCATCCCAGCCTTTGTATACTCCTCCATCATTATAGACTTTCCTTATTTTAAAAAAATACATAAATCCATCTCTTCTGTTAATTGGGGCAGGGGGACAGGGAGGAGTGATAAAGTACTAGAAATCCTAACAAACGGAGCACATTTTCCAAAGGTTTGGTCCTAAACAGAAATATATTCCACCAACAGAATTACTCAGGAGCATGTCTTTTATACTGGTAACCAATGCTCCCTCTAAGCTGTGGAGTCTTGTGAGCAAAACGTCTACTTTGTGAGCTTTTGGCATTAAAGTTGTAAGCAAGCGATTTGGCTACTGCATAAATTAGTTTTCTCTGGAGCCCTCCTTCCTGAGCTGAGACAAAAATGTGTGAGCCAGAGGCTCAAAAACTGTGAGCTGGCTCACACTAACTCAGCTTAGAGGGAACACTGCTGGTAACCCAGGCTAGCATAAGATTGACCTATCTCGGAAGCTAAGCAGGGTCAGCCTTGGTCAGTACGTGGATGGGAGACCACCATGTGAGTCCAGGGGCAATACACAAAGGCAGGCAGTGGCAAATCACCTCTGAATGTCTTTTGCCTTGAAAATCCTCCAGGGTCGCCGTAAGTCGGCTGCGACTTGATGGCAAAAAGAAAAGGGCTATATTATAATGAAAGGTATTTTTCTAAAGTGAATAGGATTGTGGACTACCCCATTGCATACAATTGCGTACAGAATGCATTATGTTTGCCTTATGTGTTATCCTCTCACAGGATTGTTTCCAGCTTAAGTAATATCACTTTCTGCACTGTTTAACATATCATGTCTAATCATGTTTATGCTTTATTTCAGATTTCTGTAATCATAGTCATATTATATTGCTTATGAGATGTCTCATCCTACTGATTAAATTGACTCACACTTTGTAATCCACCTTGTGTCTCAGAATGAGAAAGGCAGACTACATGTAAAGTCAATAGATAAATGAAGGCTGCGGTCACACGGAACGGTAGCCACACAAGTGAGACGGAAGACAGGCGGAGTTTCCGGGCGCGATCTCACCAGCACATCTGGGAAGCATAGCACTCCCGTAGCTCAACTGAGGCTTCCCGCTGAAACTGCGTGGCAAAAAACTAGTACCTCGGAGGTACTAGTTTCTGGAAACTGTGGGGCAAGGGTGGGCGTCTGATCGTGTTTCCGGTGGCATCTGGCACCCGCCCATGTCCCCTTGCAAATAAAGGGTTTTTTTCCCCAAGTCTCTGTGGATGCGCAGACGCACCCAACGGAGCATGCGCATTTGTCGTGTACAGGAAAAAAGACAACCGGTTTGCCGCGCCACGCGCTTCTTCGTTGCACACCGGCTTGTCCTATGATCAGCACCTCTCCCTTCCCACGGAACCTCCACGGTACCTCCACAGGACCTCCACGGGAGGTCTGATCGAGTAACCGCGCGGTAGTTTGCCCCGGGGCAAACAGCCACACTTCCCTACCGCAGTTTCCTGCCCGTGTGACCGGGGCCTATATAAATCTAAGACCATTGATTTCAATGGATTTAGAAGAGTATAACTCTTCGTAGGTTTGCCCTGTAAGATTCCTAAGAATAAGCAACCAAGTAACATTTTCATATTTGTACATGTTAAAAATGTTGAAGAAGCAAAATACATACAGTGTCTTCTGCAAAGACAGTTTCATCATTTTTCATTCCATTGACATTACTCCCAGGAACATCCTTGGCAGAGACAAAACATACAAAGCCAGGCACTTTCTGGGCCTCTGTTGTATCAACAGAACTGGGGAGGGAAAAAATAGCACAGAGAAAGATTACTGAAGGTGGTATTACTAGAAATGAGGAAATGCACCATATTTTATTTAGTTTTATATTCATTTATATTTTTGTTACTGACTCTAGTTCTCCACTTTTCACTGTCGGTTTTATAATTTGCATTGTGTAAGCATCTTGCATGTGGTTATTTATGCATATAATATATGTCACATTAATGTATAATGCTTATTTGTTGACATGCAAATAATATTGAAAAATGTTGAAAAAATAACATTGAAATAAGGATGCAAGGTAATGGAAAATGGCATTAAAATAAAGAATCATGGGCTCAGTTCATACAAGAGAAAATAAATCAAAATTGGGAGTCAAAACAGCTTAAAAGCCGAATGGTGGTGGCACTTCTCTAGAACATTCCACACGCTCCGGAATTGGCTGGCCTCCAACATTCTAAACAGTTTGCTGTTCCTCTCCCCCCCCCCCTAGCCAGTCAGAACACAGAGGTTATTTGCATATGGAGCCTCATTGGCCTTTGCTTCAGAACACAGAGTTCGTTTGCATATGCGACTTGATTGGCTTTTGCCTCTAACATTCTAAACAGTCTGCTGTTCTGAGGTAAAATGTGTCCAATCTCCAGGTGAGGGCTGGAGATCACTCAGAATTACAACTGCTTTCCAGATGGCAGAGATCAGTTCCCCTGGAGACAATGGTGGGCTCTGTATCCTTATATGCTGCTGAGGTGGCCCCCGTATGACAGCCAATGTGACGTAGCAGTCAGGGCTTTAGAGCACGGGAGAGGCTGCAGGTGTGTGGGGGGTGGAAAGCTAAAGAGTGAGAGGGAAATAAAGGTAGGTTGATGATAGGCTGGGAAGGAGATAGGGTTGCCAACTCCAGGTGGGAAATTCCTGGAGATGTGAGGGATGGAGCCTGGAGAGGATGAGGTTTCAGGAGGCATGGGACCTCGGACAGGTACAAAGCCATAGACTTCTCCCTCCAAACCAACCATTCCCTTCTAGGGAACCATCATTGCCAATCTCCAGGTGAGGGCTGGAGACCACTCAAAATTACAACTGCTCTTTAGGTAGTAGAGATCAGTTCCTTTGGAGAAAATGGTGGACTCAGTGTCATTATATCCTGCTGAGGTCGCCACAACAAATTGACACTGAGTGTCCAAGGCCAGGGCACCCGCCCAGAGCATCTTTCTAGAGGTCGTTGTATTTATTTCCACAATGGGCCTTTTTCCTAGTCTAAATATATTGCTCAAGTAGGGTTTTCTGGTTAAATGATACTCTAAACAAAGTCTGCCAAAATTCCAAGATATAAGAACAGATACATTTTATTTTAGCAGACTGTATAGCTTGCCCTTTTAGAGGTGCTTCCAGCAGTACAGTTTGTATGCTCCCTTAAGAGATTATTGTGGATTACATGTTTTTTCTGAAATTCTAAACTCAGTTATTAGTGTGGATGATATGTAGTCTAGTAGGACAAGAAACAGGAATAGCAGGAGGGGACTTGACGGGCCTGAACTATTTTAATGAGTGATTCGGCAGTCATTGTGCCTGTTTAAGTTGCACAATAAAATGAGCCTTGAACTTAAATTGTACTCACTTACCTGATACCACATTACAATACATCTCATACCACATATAGAGGTCCTCAAATTGTGGCAGCTTCAGTGGATGGACTGTATGGCATCTCATCCTTATTGAGCTCCTCCCCCCCCCCAACCCCACTTTCCCACATTAGAGTTCTGAGACACCGGGTCCAGGTTGGGGATCACCTGATTTTGGGGGCTTCCGCCCACTTCTGGCCAGGTGGCCAGCAGGGGAAACTCCACCCCCGAACAGCAATGACGCACAGCGACATCATCACGTCAGTGATATCATTGTGTCAGTGATGTCATTGCATCTGCTTTTGGGGGCAAAACTCTATGGTTTGAGCCCAATTTTAACCATAGAGTTTGCCTAAAAAGCAGAACATTGCCTTGCGACATCACCAATATGATGACATCACTTCTGCATGATGTCATCCACTCCCGGACCACCACCCCAAATCCCCCTGACAGCACAATGATCACACCTGGCAACCCTATCCCACACTCTGCCCCCAATCTCCAGGAATTTCCCAATCCAGAGGTGGCAACCCTACCTGTGAGGTAGTCTTTGCTAAGGCAGAGTGACTGGCCCAAGGTCACCTAGCAGACTTTCGTGGCAGGAACAGATGGTAGAGGATTTACTCAGTTCAAGAACTTTTTAATTCATATTTGAAACTGTCAGGAGCTACAGCCTGCTTTACAGAGTACATTACCTGAGGAATGCTAGAAAAGGCTAGGGGTCTTTGTGAACAATCTTCTTCCAGATAGAAGACAATGCACGTCACTTCCCTGAATGTATACTGAGCCTTCTGGCATAGAAACTCTTTATGTCAGGAGGGGTGAACTTTGCAGTGACAAGCTCCTGAGCATTCCTGTACTACTGGGGAGCTGTTACTACAACAGTACACAGATGTCTTTCCAGTGGCTCCCACATGGCAATCACAGCTCACAAATCAGCCTTCAGTGATCCAGATTTCTCATGTTTTTCCAAGTCTACATGGCCTATGTCAGTAACATTCTCCTTTTGTCTGAAGAGCTGGGTCTAAATTGCATCTGACAAAGTGGTCTGTTGCTTATGAAACTTCATGCCACAGTACATTTGTCAATCTTTAAAGTGCCATGACACTTTATTTTTGCATTTTCACATGGCATTTACCCTTCACGGGCCAGTTGAATATATTATATTTTATGGTACCATGAGATGTAATTAGAACAAAGTAAGTATTTTTAAGCAATGAGACACAGAAAATGACCAAGACAAGTACCATAGAGAAAGCACAGTGGTTTTAAAAAACAAAAGACCCTTTCCAAAAACACATTGCAAAAGTCTTTATAGTCATGTAATCAACTCTATAAAAATAAGAAATAGCTTAAAAGAAAATAGTAGGTTTTTTTATTTAATTTTTGCTCAGTGAATAAATATATTTTACCAAAGGGATGGAATATATTTCCCAGACTGTTAAATTCCTAGTTTTATCACGAATGCCATTGCCTTGCTATTCATAAAAACCTAAGTAATTTGTTCTAGGACATAAAAAGGACATGTGCCTAGAATGTTAGTACGTGATGACTCTGCAACAAATCCTTGGGAATTATGACCAGGAACCAGTCACAGGACGCTAGCCCAGTACAATTCTTAACTCTTGTTGTTTGAACAGCGGATTCCTTCTTTGCCGTATTGCAGTCTTGGGGGGGGGGGGTAGAGAATAAAACAGCACCATTATTGTTGTGAGGGCAAAACGTACGATTCATCCCAGCACTGGGTAGCTTATTGACTGAGATCCCATTTTAGGGAGGGAGGGCATTAAGTTTGAATAACCAGAAGGCACAGAGACATCCTGTGTCCTCCCTCGGAAGTCCTTGCAATCTAAAAGCCATGCAAAATACCCACCCGACACAGCATAATGGTGGTCACAGGACTAGTATATAAGAGAGAAATTTCTGTTACAGATGCAAAGTTCAGTGGTAGAGCACTTGCTTTGCATTCAGAAAATCCCAGGCTCAAGCCATGGCACCTACAGTTTTAAACAGGGCTTTTTTTGTAGACAAAGCCCAGCAGGAACTAATTAGCATATTAGGCCACACCCTGACAGCACAGCTCATTAGCATATTAGGCCACACCCCATGTTACCAGAAGTAACCTTTTGCTTCTTATTCTGTTTACCTTATTTGTTGTCAAAACCCAGGGCTTTTGTGTGTGTGTAGCAGGAACTCCTTTGCATGTTAGGCCACACATCCCTAATGTAGCCAATTCTAATGAGTTTCTGCTGTTGGGTGTGGCCTATTATGCTAATGAGTTCCTGCTGGGTGTGGCCAACTCGGGAGCCAGCCGGAACTCCGTTCCTGTGCGTTCCTGCCCAAAAATAGCCCTGGTTTTAAATAAAGGATCAGGTAACAGGTGACCTCTGCCTGAGACTCTGAAAAGCCACATCCAAGCACAGTAGACAATACTGGGCTAATAAGGGTCTGACTCCGTACAGAGTGGCTCCTTGTGTTCATGGGTGTGTGTTCCATTCCAAACTTACATAATTTTAGCATGGGCTTTGGTGCTGGTAACAAGTGTTAGGTAGAGCTCATTCTCATAGCGAGGTATATCATCACAATAGACTGCTTCTCCGCTTGCCTGTTTGGCTGCTGAAAGATGCACCATGGGTCGTCCCACCATATCTTCAATGGACTGTCCTGCGGGTACTTCCTGTAACAACAAAAAATTCCAAAGTTCTTTCTTAGGGCTGTGAGTCAAATGATGATGCCAATATTCATCACATTCTATCAAGCGTGGAAAGTGCTCACATGTTCTTCAATCATAAAAAGACAATAAATAAGTACAAAAGGCAAGGATTAGTGAAAATGCACATCTATTTCATGGAATGACATAAAACACGGCAAAAAATAAAGGCTGGCCAAGTTGATAGTATAGGTGGCACTGGAAGGCGTGATCTTATCTGGATCACTGGATTCTTCCCACTTACTTGGAAAAGTTGCACATTGTTAACGGGATCTTTATGGTATAACTCAGTGGCACTTGTATACCTAGATGGGACCACTTCATCAAGATTGTTCTGCAAAAACAAATATAAAACTCCAGATTAATTTAATCTCCTGAGGAAGTTTACAAACTTTTTACAGCTTTAATTTGTACAAGAAGGTTACTTGGTTTTAAGTTTCTGATACCATAGTCTCCCTATGCTACTTGCCCACTCAACTGGGAAAGCAACCCACTTTGTGACTTGTGTACAAGATTAATAGTGTGGTCCTATCAATTGATTTTAATGGCCTTAGACTGGGGTAACTCTGCATAGGATTGCATTGTAAAATGGCAATCCTAAACAGGTATACTCAGAACCCTACACAAGTCTATTCATTTGGGCTTGCTCCCAGAAAAGTATTCTTAAGGATTGCACTGCAAATGTCCCAAAGCACCTGTTTAGCCCTCCTGTTCTCATGAATTATTCTATTTTGCACTAGTCAGGTTTGTGGATCAAGTATATGGCAGATTAATAGTAGAAACACTGGAAAACACATTCAAAAATCCAATAGGTCCTTCACTGAGGAAACTGCAGTAGCAAAGAGATTATGTGATGGACTTCGTTCCTCATCAGATAACCTGATGATATATCCAACAGGAAAGCTGTGGTTCTCTGGGACCCTATACATGGCCAAACCACCTACAACAAATACTCCTAACTCCAACTTCTAAAGATCTCTAGAATTCACTGGAAATAATATTTGTCTCTGCACATCATGGACTTGGGAGGAACCTTCACCACAGAAAGATAATGGAAGCACTCACATTACCATTGAGTTCTATACTTAATTTCTGAAGCACAGTGAGATAGAACTTAAAGAAGAAGCTGAGCGTGAGAGTTCGCCGGAAGTCCACCATACCACCTGGAGCTGAAGGAGACAGATTCATCTCATTGGCCAGCTTGCAGCAGGCATCCTGCAAAAGCTTTTCTTTCCACTCCCTGCCAATCAATGAACAATCTGTTAACATAAAAACTCCTCCACCACTGAAGCATTTCTCTTTCCCCATAGTCCATGGGATACATGTCCTCAGGAGTGGGAAGAAGCGAAACCAAATTCAGGGGCCCCTGGCCAGGCTGGGGGCCCATGAAGCTGGGCAAGTCATGAGGTTTTTATACAATGTTTGGGTTGGATCTCAGCAGCAGGAAGGGGATTCAAGGGGAGTTGTTGTCCGAGCATAACTTTGGTGGCTCTTGACTGCCTTCCCATGCATCTTCATTGCAACAGGGGTTGTAGCAAGACCAGTGTAGCCAACTCAGGCAGCTATGTTGGCAGAAAGTGTCTCTAATGGACTCTTTTATGCAACATCATTTTTGTTTTCTCATGAGCTCCCACTTTAGTACTATAATGTGAAAGGAGCTTATTCTGCAGCACAAGGGCCTGTCTCTCCTACCTGCCAATGATCTCTTGACAGGATTTAGTAGCCAGCACAGTTGTTGGAGCCATCCCTCCATAGCTCAGCTTAATCTCTTGTACTCGGCTGGTTCCCTCTTGGAACAAGACTCTCATTCCACAGGTCACTATAGCAATATCATCCTCTCGCCGAGAAGCCTGCTTGAATGCTGAGAAATATTCCCCCTAGGGCAAGAAGAAGTTTGTCTTGGGTTCCTCATTTGGATTATAGTGGGATCATTACAATAAGCACATCCAATTAGTCTATTTCAATGGGAAAGTGAGTAGGACTAAAATAGCAGACTCGCTTTTCATTCTACACTATCAAGATATGAAAGCAAAATTAAATGTGTGCAGGGATGGACTGGGATGGAACACTGGGGTCCTTTTTCCTCCTATAGATCTAATTGAAGCTTTGAAGGGGTGATTTAAATAACTAAAGAAGCATGGTAAGAGAGGGTTAAATCTTCCTGTTAATCCGGGGTGATAAACACCCCCTCCCGCAGCAACCTTCCTTATTCTCCAAAGTAGTCAAGTTGGGCTGCTAATTAGCTTTTTAAAAGCCTTATCATACATCTATACTTATGTATAGGTTGAGTCTCAGAAGCTGCTTTAAAACATCAGCACTTTTTTTTTGCTGTCAAGTCCCAAATGACTTATGGCAACCCTGTAGTGATTTAAATAACTAAAGAAGCATGGTAAGAGAGGGTTAAATCTTCCTGTTAATCCGGGGTGATAAACACCCCCTCCCTCAGCAACCTTCCTTATTCTCCAAAGTAGTCAAGGTGGGCTGCTAATTCGTTTTTTAAAAGCCTAATCATACATCTCTCTCCCTTCATGTATAGGTTGGCTCTCAGAAGCGGCTTTAAAACATCAGCACTTTTTTTTTTTGCTGTCACGTCCCAAATGACTTATGGCAACCCTGTAGGGCAGGGGCGTCAAACATAAGGCCCAGGGGCCAGAACAGGCCCATCCAGGGCTCTTACCCGGCCTGCGAGCAACTGGTATGTATGGAAATGTGAGGTAATCCCCCTTTTATGGTATCTCCCTTGGGAAAAAACCCTAGTCTTGCATGTGATTAAATACATTTATTGGGGCTTTTGTGGGTTCCCCAGTAAATCAATTGCTTTCACTGCTAGGAATCAATTGCTTTTGTTTGTATTTTTGAGTTAAAAATAATATTGTTAGTTGGGCTTGCCTGTGTCCTTTATAAAGTTTATATCTCCAGTACCTGGCATTACATTTTATGGCACACATGGCCCAGCCCAACAAAGTGATATTTATGTCAGAACCAGCCCTCGTAACAAATGAGTTTGATAGCTCTGCTGTAGGGTTTTCAAGCCAAGAGGCATTCAGAGGTGATTTGCCATTGCCTGCCTCTACGTAGCGACCCTGGTATTCCATGGTGGTTTTCCAAATTCTTGACAGAACTAACTCTGCCTAGTGTCCAAGATCTGACAAAATCGGGCTATCCTGACAGTGCCAGCCCGTCATAGAGAATTTTTAGGCAGCGGCCTAGAGCAGCCCCTTAAGAGGGGGTGCCACACGGCCACTGGCCTGCCGTCCCTCCCCTCCCTCACCTAAACAGGGTAGGCTGAGTCGATGCTGCTGCGACCCCGCACAGTGGAGATCAGCTTCCAGGCACGCTCCTCCAGGGACTCCACACTGTTTCAGCCTCCAGCGGGCCCCCTGCCGGGCTCCGCCCTCCTTCCCATGTGGCTTTGCCCCACCCTGCACTCCGGCGCCAGCCTTGGGCAGCAGAGCCTCCCTGCTGCTGCCCTCACTCACTTGCTGGCTGCCGTGTGCCTGCCCGCTGAGGCCATGCTGTGTTTAAATAGTCAATATCCTGCTAACTGGCAATAGTAAGAGCCTGGAGGACATTATTCCATGTTTGGGATACAGGGTTCTCCTGAGGATTGCACAATTTATTGGTAGCACGGCAGATGCCATCATACTCCTCAGTGTGAAAAGCAGCAACTATCAGATAATGGGTTGAGTGCCAAGGCATTCATTGCATTTGACAGGTCTACACCTAAGATTATTTAGGTTTGCACCTAAAATGTAACATGATAATAAAACAAACAAACATGTATCTTCGTTATCAAAAGCTAGGATGGGCTTGCTGCTACCTGTCAAATTTATAAGAACATAAGAAGAGCCCTGCTGAATCAGACCAGTGGTCCATCTAGTCCAGCATCCTGTCTCACACAGTGGCCACCACTTCTTCTGGACAGCCAGCCACAGGACATGGAGGCTCAGACCTTCCCCTGATGTTACCTCCTGGCTCTGGGATTCACAGGTTTCCACTCAGTCACCATGGCTAGTAGCCTCTGATAGACCTACCCTATATGAATCTGTCTAATCCCCTTTGAAAGCTGTTTATTCCTGTGGCCATCACTACATCTTCTGGCAATGAATTCCACATTTTAATCACTCTCTGTGTAAAGAAATATTTCCTTTTGTTCATCCTGAATCTACTGCCCATCAGCTTCATTGGATGCCCTCGAGTTCTGGTATTTGGGGTGTGGGAGGAAAAAAATATATTTTTCAATTTATACTTGTGCACAAACCTGGGCTTGTTACAAGTAAGGCGTGGAAAGACCCTCTCAAGAACATCCTTTCCAATTATCTGTGTTGGTTAGATAACAGTCTCTTGTTACCCAAGTACCTTTCCCTTGTGATTCCCTCTATGGACAAAGATCAACTGACAAGGATCCAGTTTTTAAACAAATCATGTCTCCCTTTATATATCCTTTCTCAACATATTTTTCTTAGTGTCTGACAAGCTCTTGTAACTATCCAGCACCGTAGTTTTAGAAGAGTCCATTAAATAAAATATGAAAATGACAGGCAGCTGAGAGCTACTTTGGGTAGACTTTCACCCAAAAAGGAGAGAAATCAGCCTTCTAGAGCCCCTGAAAGCTTAAAGAATTCTGGAGGGGAGACTGGGGGGGGGTGAGGTATATGATATTTCTATAATGTTTCTGGTGGGCCTCCAGCGTGTTTTTAATCATAACCACAATGCTGCTTTCATGAATGTGAGGCTGGAAGCACTTGACATGGAAAGGACCCCGCATTCTGTTGCCCGTCTGTCATTCTGTTTTCACTCCTTACATAAACCCTGGCATAATTCAGCTAAACTATGGGTGTTTTGCTGTATCATTTCAACACTTCATCTCATGTTGCTTTCTCGTTTTGCTTGTTTGTGTTGCTTTGCCCTACAGGCCACAGGGATTCCTCTCCCCCACAGTGTTTAGGATGCAAGACAAGGTCTACGTGTGTAAGGAAGGTTGAAAAGTGAGCAGGTGGAAGCTGCTTTCGCGGGGAAGGGGTTGTGCAGCTTTTGTGACTGAACAGCTAACACACTTCTTAGCACTTTATGCTCACTTTGCCATGTTGAAAACAGCAGCAAGAAGCGGCAAAGTTGTGCACAAGTTTTAACGTCAGTCTTAGAACTCCCAGGACTCAGTGTCGTTTTCTATATGCACAGCAGAGGGTGCTACGATGGTGTGATGAGCTGCATTTCTAATGAGCAGGATACATAGATTGGCATACGGAACTAGGAAGGAAGGAATTATCCCATTGTAAAAATTAAAGTAAGAGTTTTGCACGAAGCACTATTTTTTAACTGAGGCTCAGAAGGCAAAGCAGATTAGAGGTTCTCTTTTGAGGATGCTGTAAGGCTGAGAAAAGATAGAAATCTATTTATAACATCATAGTCAACAATTTCATGTAGGGTTGCCAGCAAGCTAGCAACTGACAAGAAACTGGGGGACAGGAACCTGGAGGGCACTGTAGGGCAATGGTATTGCATCACTGGAAGTGGCATCACACTGCTCTAGGAATTCCTGGGAACTCTGTAGTAAAACCATAGTTGCCAGCAATTTCAAGAGTAGAATGATGGCACTTCCAGGTTTCCCCCAGAAATGACATAATGTCATCATGCCAATGGCATTTTTTCCCCCATTGGCCACTGGAGCACCAGCAGGCAATGTAAACTGGGGTTGGGACATCTCCCCCCCGCCGCCCGCGCAGTGAGTCAATGGCAAGCCTAATCTCTCCCCCCTATTGGCCACTGGAGCACCAGCACGCAATGTAAACTGGGGTTGGGACATCTCCTCCCGCCCCGCCCCCCCGCAGTGAGTCAATGGCAAGCCTAATCTCATGTTGGAAGAAATTCCTCAGGATCCTTTCTCCAGTTTCACCAATGCAAGTGGCTCTTCCATTGGAAGAAGAGCCACTTGAGTTGGATGAAGGCTCCTTAGGCTGAAGGAATGCTTCTAACTTTGCTTCGTAGAGTGGGAGGATATAGGCCAGTGCCACTCTGTAGGACACCGAGGCTCCAGGCTGCATTATGCTATGGGACCCACCAGCTCTTAGGATGGCTTCTGAACGGGCATTGCTCAGTGCTGTTCAGCATATCCTGGCAGCCAAAGATCTAACAACTTGACTTTTCTTAAATGGAAACTAAGATTTTCAATAAATACATTCTGTACCTAAATACCACATTCTCTGCATTTCTTGCATACCCATAAAATATCCTGACAGGCTTTCAAGAACAGGTGTATTTTTGCTGTTTGCCTTCTCAATAAAGCACTGCCGGTTTCTACTCAGCCTCGTAAAACAATTCATATTCCACCCATCACCTCACCTTCCTGCTGCAGGGTATCCCGACTGAGAGCAGTGTTTCCTCAGGCTTTAGTATAGTCTTTCTGTAGCCAGTAAAGAATGTTTCATCCATCCTGACAGTCCTCCTGCCCTCTGTACAGAAAGAAGAAAGGGCACACAATGGATGGAATGAATCAGTTTATCATCTCCCTTTCATACAAGCAATTATCATTCTCAGAAGCACAACTGGCATTTTGTCTGCACAAGGAGAGGCCATAAACAATCTATACTTCTGGGAAAACACAGTCTAGCAATTACATCTATACCAGTGATGGAGAACCCTTTAGAGACCGAGTGCCCAAACTGCAACTCAAAACCCACTTATTTATCGCAAAGTGCCAGCACGGCAATTTAACCTGAATACTGAGGTTTTACTTTAGAAAAAACAACTCATACGTTAACTTAAGATGATCCAAACAAAGTAAGGAAAGCAATCCCAAATGCTTTCATTTACTTAACATTATTTGGCAGAGAATTCGACACTTTAATGATGGTCTGGGCCTGGCTGGGGCAATGGCACGCGTGCCCACAGAGAGGGCTCTGAGTGCCACCTCTGGCACCCGTGCCATAGGCTCGCCACCACTGATCTGTACTATAAGTAAAACAAGATGGAATGAAGTCTCCTAAAGCTTTTTTCTTTAAATCCTGGGTGGTATCATATATTATTTGGGATCCATAAGTTGGCTGCAATGGTTCCCTTCTGCAAAGCGAGACATTTTCCACTGGGAGGAAGGCGTCCTCTCTTTGCAGCGCTGCAGTCCCCTGACATTTTAGCCTTGCAAAGTTGACCTCTAAATGGAACAGGCAGTAGAGGGTGACATTACTGTGCAAAACTGACAGGGTGGCTCTCTGGAGGCCCTTTGTGAAGGAGCCAGACAGATTCAGCAACCAAGAGACAAAAGTTGGTGTCAAGCAGGGAGTCCAAATGAGAAGGATGAGGAAAGGACAGGCGACGCTGGGGAGTAAGAAAGGAGACAAGGCAGGGCTAGAGAGCAGAGCAAACAAACGTTGAGGGAATGAACAGGAAATAGAACCCCACACAGGTTCTTCTCAGCTGCATAGGCCAGCAACAATGAAAGACTATACAGAGTCAGAGCTGAAAAGGAACCAGTCATGCAGAAGGCAATAGAACAAGGCAAAATGCTATGTTGGTCCTTGAGCCCTAGAGGTCTACACATGGCAAGTGAAAGGCCGCAGCCCCGAAGGATCCAGGTTCAAATCATCCTGCTGCTGCATGGCATTTAGAGATGAAACGAATATTCACACATATTCAGAATTGACTGCTTTATCTGATTCAGCCATTCAAGTCTTAGGATGAGGAATCTCAAAGCAAAATTCAAGTTTGCACTGTTGAACATGAAGTTTTAAACTTTGAATTTAAAATTCAAATGCTCTCATTGTGTTGGCATTTCAGTTTGTTGGCATATTTTAGTTTTGGCAAGCTTCAAAACAGAAATCTCATAAACCATCAACTGTTAAGTATTAATTACCACTGCATGTTATCTCTCAAATATTGCCAAATGGATGAAAAGATTCACACCCCCTTGCCAGAATCTGTGCTGCCAAAACAAACAGCCTTGTTCCCCAAGATACTTATTAATTTTAAAGAAATCATTGGAGAACTTCTGCAATACATTGGGAGTCTACGGCAGGCATACAAGTGTTCGCTAAAGACATAAAGTTTGATAATCACCATGGTATATTATTATGAATCATTTATCAACACTGTCAAACACTAAATGCCACTGCATGTCAGCTATCAATTCCTGCAGAATATTACACTATTCATTTAGTACATCCTTATTCTGGCCTTTCTCCAAGGAGCTCAGGAAATGGTTCTTCTGCCCTTATTCTCACAACAATCCTGTGAGATAGGTCAGGCTGTCAGAGAATGCATTTCAGGGCAGGCAGAGATTTTAACCTGGATTTCTCCAACCTAAGTCTGACCCTGTAACCACTATGCCATAATACCTTTTATTGTCAGATACCAAATACTGAAATCAAATAGCATTCAGCATCAAACAAAAAAAGAAAATATCCTAAGAACATTCAGGCATGCTCATCCTAGGTGGGATCCTGTCAGCTTGTTCACTCAAACTTATCTAATTTCCTACGTTACTTGGCCCATTTGCACACACCTTTTTTATCTACATCAGTCCCATGATCCCCAACATAGACCTTTTGGTGGTCAGTGGGGGACCCTCCCTTGTTCTCCAATGGAAAAGCTGGTTGGATCCAACCCATTATATGGACAATGTTTTCCATCAAAATTTGCAAAGGAGAATTCTGAATGGAATTTTTGGAAGCAAATCCTTTTCAGTCCAAGGACTCTAAAATGTGGAGATTAGAGGGCTCTACTTAGCAAAACCAACAGCAGCATTATTTACTAAAGGTGCTAGAAACAACAAAGGTTGTGATTCTCTCTCATATTCATCCTAGCAGCTCTTGTTGCTACCATCTGATGAAGTAAGCTTTGACACACAAAAGCTTATACCCTGGGAAATTTTGTCAGCCTTTAAGGTGCTACTGGACTTAGATTTTGCTCTGCAGACTAGAATGGCTACCCACTTGAAACTGCTGCTACCATCATAGGCTTTGCACCTTGAGTAAGGAAGCCAAGGAAATTACTGATGATGACATACCATGTGCCAAAGTTTAGAGTGGCTTACCATTTGACACCAAAGTCAGCCTGCTCCCACTTGCCATAAATACAGGATTTAGGTCAGATATTGGACTTGCAGTCATTATATTTCCCCCAAGAGCCTAAGGGCAAAGACACAACATGCACAAATTATACATCCAGTTCAAAAGATATCACTGCAATATTTATTTAAGGCTGTTACAAAATTATTAGGTACCACAAGATTCTGATTTAGCATCACATATAATTAAAATGTTCAAAGTTTTCAGATATTAACTGGAATGGACCCTGCCACATCAAACTACTCCACTGGGCAAAGTCCGAAGCCCTCCTCCAACTTAAGGGAAACTTTGGCCAATGGAAGAGCCACTCAAGATGTTGGAGGGTTCCTTGGCTGGAGGACGGTTCTTTAGAGGACAGTTCAATCTGTATTAATTTGCAATCATCTGTTCATATATACATGATTTGCTATTATTCAAAATTCATACATTAACAAATGGTGGTGTGGACTGTGCTGTCAATCACATTCAGATTTTCCTGGTTCAGCTGATACAGCAGTCGTTTTTCCTTGCCCCTGTCCCCATGGTGGCCATTTCCATCCTTTCCACTGGGGGGCTATTTTGGGCTCTACTTTAATCAGCAGTTCAATACTGTTATATCGTTATATGGATTCTCAGCTTTCGCTTTTTAAAAGTAAGTCTCTTTCCCCTTTCGTTGCAGAGAGACGACCTTTTCTTTACCTCTCAGAGAACATGATACACAGAGAACATGATACTCAACTGCTGACTTTAAAGAAAACATAAAGGCCAGGTGGTACAACAGGGGGAATGAACTCTGCTCAGGCTCAGAACTCTGCTGGGGCAAAAAAAAATGTATCGGGAGACATGCCATGCCGACAACCCCTTGCCACTGTTCTATATTGGCAGCCCCAGCAGCAATAGAGGAACTACAGAAGTCTGTCTCCATGTGGAAAACCTCTCATCAACGGTTTTCTCCCTGATCTTCTAAATAGCCAACAGGGGCTAGGCTTGTTCCCAGCCCCGACAGCTCTTCCCCACTCTGCCCCCTCTTACTGTGGGAGAAAATGGGGGTGGGGTTGAGAGACTTCACTTCCATTTGGTGCATCTTAACACACTAGGAATATCCCCCATTTCTACAGTGTTTAGCACAGAGCTTGAGGAAATTTCTAGAACATTGAAATGACATCTCTTCTGGGTCTTCTCCTTGAAATGACATCACTGTGTCACGCAATGCTTCCCCCCTCCCTGTGCCCCTTCCCAAAATGCTCCTGGATTGCCAGGTGTAGGTCTGGCAACACTAGCAGGGGTTACATAGCTTTTTAAAAACTGCAGAAGATCTAATCACATAACCTCAACATACAGACTTGGATCCACCAAAAACGTCTGTTGACAGAAAGGATTTCTAAGAGCAGAAAGTTACTTTCTAAGCTTCCCTATCCTGCTGTAGCCCACAATGTCCCTCCAGATGCTGATCCCAGGGGCAGCAGACCTCCCAGAATTGCAGGAGGAGGCGTATGTAGCAGGAGAGTGAAACTGGCAAAAATTGCTGCTTTCATCTGCAGAAATTATTCACTGGCAGCCAGCAGAAGACATGGGGAGCAACCATTGGTGACAACGTGACAACATTTCCAGGAAAAACTCAGAAGTGATTGCATGCCTCTCTACAAATTGCCAGAAAGTCTATGGTAAAACCGGGTTTTCCCAGAAGTGACATCAGTACTCTCTAGAGCTATAGCAGATGTGGCAGGAAAATATGTTATGTATATGCAGCAAGGCACTTCACTCTGGGCTGAGGCATAACCCAGGTCCTCAGTATGGAATCAATTAATCCTGCTAAGTCCCAGATAAGAAGATCTGCTTGTTCAGTTTGAATCCTCTATGATTTCCTTTTCCCACTTCTCTCTTCTCCCTTCAGTCTTTAGTGAAAACTACTTGGAAGCACTTACAGCAACATTTCGGATTTGAGGGCCTGCAAACCATCTCAGTTGCTCTAGGACTGCCTGGAACACCTCTGTTTTATAAGGAGGAAGATGGGCCACAGCCTTCCGTAGAACCTCTTCCACATGGCTCAGAGTGCAGGAGGCGCCAAAGCTGATTCCTGAAAAACCAAATACCAGATGGATTGGACCAATAATTGTATTGTGTGAAACAAACACTACCATTCAAGTTGAAGGCATTGTGAGATTTTTTTAATCCCGGCGACTCAATTTTAGAAGAGTCAGGTTTTTATTTATTTCTAGGTGGGGGAGGTCCCCTAATTCTGGGGCATCAGGAATCATAGTTAGCAAAGATAGTAAATTTGTCAATATGCCAGAATTTCACCTCTTGGCCAGCTGCCAGATTGAGAAACTCCAAAGCTGTGCCATTTTTGCTTTTGTCATGCACAAGCAGGTATAGCGCATATACATGTGCACTAAGACATCACTGCAATGGATTGGCTGCCTTTGTGATGCATGGCTGTCTATCAGTTCAGACACATATGCATCATGCACTATGGCATGGAAATCTGCCTCATATAAGAACCACATGGAGGTGGCTTGTACTGTTTGCAGAACGCACCCATCAAGGTAGCATATGTGAGTATCTTAAGTGTAGTATGTCTAGAAAGACAAGAGAGCATCCCATTCATAAAAGACTGCACAAGCTCAGGTTCACATTGGTTTTAGGGCTAGTTATTAAAAATATGTAAGAACATAATAAGAGCCCTGCTGGATCAGACCAATTGTCCATCTAGCATCCAGTCTCACACAGTGGCCAACTAGATCCTCTAGAGGTCGAACAACAGGGTGTAGAGGCTGAGGCCTTCCCCTGCTGTTGCCTTCTGGCACTGGTTTTCAGAGATTTACTGCCTTTAAATGTGGAGGTTCCCTTTAGTCACCATGGCTTGTAGCCACTGATAGACCCATCTTCCATGGTTCTGTCCAATCCCAGATTGAGAAAGGCCCAGGCCACATGCTAGCATCACACAGGAAGTAATGTCATCACACCAGTGATTTCCAGCCAACACTCTGGTTTCTGGGCAAAACTCTACTGGTAAAACCTGCTTCTACCATAGAGTTTTTGCCCAATACCAGAGCATCACCCAGAAGTCACTGGGGTGATAACATCACTCCCTGTGCACTGCTGGTGACATGGCCTGGGCCTTCCTCTTTCTACTGGTAAGTCACCCTGCTGGCCAGCTGATCAGCAGTTTGGGGGCAGGGCCTAGTGACAGGGGGGGTCTGGCAACACTATATCCTGTTTTTGGTTCCCAAGTGCTTGATACCCTCCCTGTTTTCGTTATTCAGTGTTCAAGGGACTCCTGATGGCCCCAGTCAGCTTCATGAATCACAAACATTGTAGGCTTCTGTGGTATTTATGCCCTGAAGGGGCCATACGCAAAAGCAGCAGAGAACAAAGTCTCATCTGGAATTAGCGGCTGAGGCCCTGAGGCTGCTGGCCCCCTGCTGGCCAGCTGATCAGCAGTTTGGGGGCAGGGCCTGGTGACAGGGGGGTCTGGCAACACTATATCCTGTTGTTGGTTCCCAAGTGCTTGATACCCTCCCTGTTTTCGCTATTCAGTGTTCAAGAGACTCCTGATGGCCCCAGTCAGCTTCATGAATCACAGACATTGTAGGTTTCTGTGGTATTTATGCCCTGAGGGGGCCATACGCAAAAGCAGCAGAGAACAAAGTCTTATCTGGAATTAGCAGCTGAGGCCCTGAGGCTCTTCCCTCACTGTCCTATAGCAGCAAGGAGAGGACTCACCTCAACATCAGCTGACATTTGTCTGGGGTAGAATGGTCTGGCTCTGGTGCAGCTGTCATAGAATCATAGAATGTTAGAGTTGGAAGGGACCTTGCAGGTCATCTAGTCCAACCCCCTGCACTCTGCAGGAGCATAACCGAAAGATAGCCCTACAACATACCTGAAAGTTGGTCGCCCAGCCTCCGCTTGAAAACTTCCAGTGAAGGAGCATCCACCACCTCCCGAGGCAGTCTGTTCCACTGCTCAACCACTCTTACAGTTCGGAAGTTTTTCCTGATATTTAGCCGGTAACGACTCCCTTGTAATTTCCACCCATTAGATCTAGTCTTGCAATCCGGAGCAAAAGAGAATAGATCTGCTCCGTCTTCTACATGACAGCCCTTCAAATACTTGAAGACTGCAATCATGTCCCCTCTAAGCCTTCTCTTTCCCAGGCTACACAAACCCAACTCTTTCAGCCTTTCCTCATAAGACTTGGATTCCAACCCTCTCACCATCCTGGTTGCCCTCTTCTGGACACACTCGAGCTTGTCAACATCCTTCCTAAAATGTGGTGCCCAAAACTGGACACAGTACTCCAGGTGGGGCCTGACCATAGCAGAATAGAGCAGAACTACCACCTCCCGTGATCTGGACACAATGCTTCTGTTAATGCATCTTAAGATTGCATTAGCTTTCTTCACAGCCACATCGCACTGCAGGCTCATGTTTAGCTTGTGATCAACCAGAACACCTAGATCCCTTTCACATGTGCTGCTGTCTGTGCCTTTGACTTTTTGTACCTAAGGACTTTGCACTTTTCTCTATTGAAATTCATTTTGTCTCAGCCCACTGTTCCAGCCTATCTAGATCATTTTGAATCCTGACTCTGTCTTCTTCAGAATTGGCAATTCCACCCAGCTTCGTGTCATCTGCAAATTTGATAAGCATCCCCTCTATGTCTTCCTCCAGGTAATTTATAAAAACATTGAACAACACCGGGCCTAGGACCGAGCCCTGTGGCACTCCACTCGAGACTTCCCTCCACGTAGACGCAGAGCCATTTACGAGCACTTGTTGGGTACGATTTTTCAACCAACCATGAATCCATCCAATGGTTGCACCATCCAGCCCACACTTCACCATCTTATCCTCAAGGATATCATGAGAAACTTTGTCAAATGCTTTACTGAAATCTAGATACACTATATCCACAGCATTGCCAGAGTCAACCATTTTGGTAACTCTGTCAAAAAAGGAGATAAGGTTGGTCTGGCATGACTTATTCTTGATAAACCCATGCTGGCTACTACCAATTAACTCATTCCGTTCAAGGTTTCTCACAGACAGAGCGTTTCATAATCTGCTCTAGAATTTTCCCAGGTATTGATGTCAAACTGACAGGCCTGTAATTTCCCGGGTCCGTCTCCAGTCTTCCGGCACAACCCCAGTACTCCAGGACATCTCAAAGATTAGAGCCAGAGGTTGCCAACCCCAGGTTGGGAAATTCCTGAAGATTTTGAGGGCTCTGGGTAGCCTGAGGTTTGTGGAGGGGAGGGACCTTACTTGGATATAATGCCATAGAGTCCACCCTCCAAAGCAGCCATTCTCCAGGGGGACTGATTTCTGTAGTTTGGAAATCAGTTGTAATTCCAGGAGATCTCCAGGCCCCACCTGGAGACTGGTATCAGATACAGTCAGCATGGGCATCCCTTCAGCCATCTGGCTGCCCTGTGAACAGGGAAGGCTTTAAGTGCCGCTTTGGTCTGCCCTGGGATGTCATCATCAGTGTTATCATGTGACTTATAATGTGGTCATGTGTGTACTTCTGACAGAACCAGCCATCGTGTGGTATGTGCAAAATGGCTCCCATCTCCAGCTCTATGGTTTACAAAATTTTGTACAACAAACACAACAACATGGGATGAAAAGTTCTATGTAATGCATAGCAAAGAAGTTTTAGTTACTTCTTACTAAACTTACATAACTTCTATTACAAATTTTATTTTAAACTGCTCAAATAGATAGCAATCAAAATATTTTGGCTGCGGGCAAAACAGACACAAAGGTATCAGCCTATCTTATCAGTATCTTTGTAATCCTTCGCAATGCTTGCAAATTCCTAGAACGTCTTCCCAGTCCCTTCAGGCAATAAACATGTTGTTACTTACCGTTCTCTGAGTGCTGAATACAGTTCATTTCTGGAATCCAAGTTGGTGCTATTATCACTGAGTACAGCATGTTCTTTAACCTCATTTCAATACCTTAAGAAAACAAAATCTAGTGATGTCAATATACACATGGCAGGCAGTCAGGATTAGCAGGTTTCCCAATCAAAACACAAGACTATTTATGCAATAGTCCCATTTCCCCTGAAGTGATGACATGTGGCTCTCTCTGAAATTGACCAGTGATGGAATTGGCTGGTAATGAAATTTTACGTCAAAAACGAATGGGATTTTCCCTCACATTCAGCAATCTCAACAGGTATAATTTCCTCAATACATTATGACACTTTAGTTTCTAGTCGGTATTACTACATTACAAGTGGGGACCCACAAGAAAATTGCAGGAGTGGCTATCCCATTCCCCTCATCTCTGCTTCTTCCCCTCCCCCCTACTTCTCTCATGCTATTTCTCCTTCCTGCCACCCCTTTTCTTACTCTCACTCTCTCTCCCCCCTCCATGCCTTTCACTTATTTTCTGCCCCCACCCCATCACTTTTTCTGCCCCTGTCACTCTCTCGGCCTCCCATCTACTTCCTCCCCCTCACAGCAGCAGTGGCAGCAGCCGCTTTCCAGGAATCATTGCCCAAATACAGAGGTCAGTTCCTCTTAGGGCTGCCAGCTCCATGTTGAGAAATTCCTGGAGAATTGGGGGTGGAGTCTTGGGAAGGTGAGGTTTGAGCTTGGAAGTGACCTCAGCAGAGTATAATACCATGAACTCCATCCTTCAAAGCAGCCATTTTCTCCGCGGGAACTGATCTCTGTCGTCTGGAGATCAGTTGTAATTCCAGATCTCCAGCCCTCACCTGGAGGTTGGCAACACTAGTTCCCCCAGATGACATTACTGCTTTGGAGGGTGGAGTCAATGGCATTCTAGCTGTCTGAAGTCCCTCCCTGCCTTAATCCCCACCATCCCCAGGCTCCACCCCTCAAATATCCAGGAATTTCCCAACCTGGAGTTTATTTATTTATTTACCTTCAATTTGTATCCCACCTTGCCGGTACAAACTGGCTCAAGGCGGCTTACACAAGTTAAAATACAATAAAACCAACAAATACAAGTACATTTGGCATTCCTATCTCCTTCCCAACAAACAGCCAGCCTACCATTATCTGCCCCTCTGTGGTCCTGGTCACACGGAGGATTTGCCCCGCAAAAGGGATGGATTGAGGGCACATAAAATGGGTGCGGTCATACCACAACATCTGGGAAGCGTAGCCCACCCATCTCCAACCCGTACCGTCGGCCCAAAGAAGCGGATTTAAAAGGCACTGGGGAAAAGGTAGTAGCTTCCAGTAAATGCACGGCACGGGCAGGCGTCTGATCGGAGACACGCCGGTAGCCCGTGGCATCCAGCAGCCGTCCACGACCTGCGCATGCGCAGTAACGCAGTACTGCCGTGTTGCCTCGCTGGGACTATGCTGTTGCCTCCCTGGTGTGATCAGCTGCCGACGGCCTGAGGACAGAGCTGTGGGGGACCGTAAGATCACGCCCTCGTGCTTCTTTTAGCTCCGCCTCTAAAATGCCTCCCTTCCAGTGTGGATTTTCCCGCTCGTGTGACCGGGGCCTGTGTTCAGCTTTCCATCTCCTTTCCCCCTGCAGCTTTTACTGAGGAAAACAATGGTCTTTCTCCGCAGTGCGGACTAAAGCAGTTTACATTATTCTCTCCTCCTTTTTATCCACACAACAACCCTATGGAGTAGGTTAGGCTGAAAGTATGTGACTGGCCCAAAAATTGTCCAGTGAGCTTCCACAGCAAGATGGGGATCTCAACCTGGGTCTCACAAACTGAACTCTGAAGCTCTGACCATTATACTACACTGACTAGGGTGGTTGCTGCTGAAGGCTGCAGTCACACACGCTACATAATCCACTTTCAATCCACTTTCAGTGCACTTTCCAACTGGATTTTTACTGTGTGAACTGGCAAAATCCAGTTGGAAAGTGGATTATTTAGTGCATATGACCGCAGCCAAACACTAGCAAGCCTAGTTGAATCATGCAAGTCAGGTGGTATCAAGTCACCCAGAGGATGCTGCTAGGCCTAGGTTTGCCAGCCTGCAGGTGAGACCTGGAGACCCCCCAGAATTACAACTGAACTCCAGACAACAGAGATCTGCCCCCCTGGAGAAAATGGGTGGACTCTGTGGCATTATATACAGCTGAGGCCTCCCCAAACTCTGCACTCCTCAGACGTCACCACAGAATCTCCAGGAATTCTCCAACCTGAAGCAGGCAATCCTAGTCCCAGGCCTAGCTCCAATCCTCCTGCTATTTAGCCATTCATACTGCAGGAGAAATCCTTCCCAATCCCAGATCCAGTTCTGCTTTTGCTTCTGTCTCTGTCTCTCTCTCTCTCTCTCTGTCTCTCTGTGTGTGTCTCTCTCTGTCTCTGTCTCTCTGTCTCTGTCTCTCTCTCTGCAGTGGGGCCTGGAGTAGATCCCTGAAGTGGCCATTTCAAAAGGTATTGAGGGGGCGATTCAACCCTCTCTGAGTTTTTTTTTTAATTAGATTTTTCTGTTGTCCCATGGAGTCTCCTGAGTCTGTAGAAAAACCTGTTTGGGGAGAGTGTGCCCCCTTTCTGCAAAACTAAGTATCCACATGCAGAGGGGACTGTTAAGAATTAGTTATGTTGATAGTAGTGTGTCATCAATAGGGAATAAGCTCTTGAGACGTGAATAAATAAATTGCAGGTGGGAAGGTTTTCAGGAAACCTAATTGATTTGGCTACTACATACCCTTCACTTGCAACAGGCATGGTTTGCATGCATTCAAACTGTGTAGCATCTAAAGCCTTGAAGGAAAATCCAAACCGGTCATGAACTGGAACCAATACCAGAATCAAAAAGTGCACATTATCCATTCACCATGATCCTGGCAGGAGGGAACATCATGTTCTGATTTCTCATGCCATCCTCAGGCACTCAGGCCTGACTTAAATGTGACACTGGCTGTTCTGAATGGGTAGCAAGCAACCCCATTTAAATGAGACAATATTCAGAGTTCAAAAGCCCATGGAAGAGTGTTTTTGCCTCAGCCTTCATCACATTTAAATCAGGCCTTGGATAGCCATGTGAAGAGAACTGTCTGACATCAGATTTATATGCAGCCACATTTTGGTTCATTTCTTGCCACAACACACACCCCACAATCACACACACACACTGCCATTTTACCTCAGAATCCCACTTTTTAAACTCTCCACCATTCTCATCTCCAAGCAGCACAATCATTAGCACAGTCTTAAAAGGCTAGCTGAATGGTTGAAAGATACTAAGTACTTCAACGGACAGGCTTAAAAAGTAGCTGCTTGACCAAACAAGTACTATCTGACAAAGTCAATTTTTTTAAAATTGCGGTTGAAAAGCCAAACAGGAATCCAGTTCTTGCGCTTACCCACTTCAGTATTTCCTACCACGAGCTTGGCAGTGGGATACTCAGCTTTGAGGGTCACCAGTTCCTTGAGTGTTGAAGGCTGAAACCACATCACCCGCTCACCCTTGAAGCACAACTGCTTCTGAGGTTTGTTTTTGTGAATCTGTAAAAACAACAGTGAGTTTAGCTTCACTTGTGAACTACTGCCCTGACCTGGGTAGTCCAGGATAGCCCAGTCTTGTCAGATTTTGGAAGCAAAGCAGGGTTGACTCTAGTTAGTACTTGTATGAGAGACCACCAATGGAGTCCTGGGTTGCCACACAAAGGCAGGCGATGGCAAACCATCTCTGAATGCCCCTTGTCTTGAAAAATGAACCAAAACCCTATGGGGTCACCATAAGTCAGCTGCGACGATGGTACTTTATGCCACCACCAGTGAAATACTGACCCAAAGCAAAGAACCTGGACTGTTTTATTCTTGCTGTGCCAAAACTTGCATTTTTTGTCAAGCCAGTAAGTTATGAAAATGGAAAAAGCCCTCTAAAATAAATTGTACTTAACACCCTATGATCACTCATAAACAAAGAAAACAAAGAAAAAGACAAGGCAGAAAAATAAATTTGCAAAATCATAGTGACATCCCTCCTACACTTGGGGAGGGGGGTCACTCATAACTGACCCCAAAGGGAAATAAAATTTAAACAGTCTCCCCCTCATGTATGCATTCAATATCCTCTCCTGTAATAAAAGGATTGGTTGTTCTTTGGTTTTGATGCACAGGCATACATCAATGGATTTTTTTTTCATTTTACTTTTCACTAAAATAACATTTTTAATCAAATAAAATGAGTAGGGGTTGAAATCAGGGGTCTTTTCCTAGAAAAAGAGCTGCAGGAGCTCATTAACATACGATATGCTAATGAGCTACTAGGCTATTAGCATAATAGCTCATTAACATATTCAACACACCCTGCCATCACCGGAAGTGATGTCAGAAGGGGAAGCAAAGGGGGGGGAGGCATATTCAAAAGCCTCCCCTTCCCCAGCCAGTGGGGGGGAAGCAAAGACTTTAAACTTTAAACCCCTTCTCACTAGGGTTGGGCCGCAAAAAGAGGGAAGAGGGAAGGAAAGAG